TCTACTCCTTCAGGCTATTGTAAAATTATGCAAAGTCTCACCCTCGCCTTTGTACACAGTTGTCTGATGTTTTTCTTCACCTTTTTTTCACCCTGCAAAGGCTGTCGGGAAGAATTTTTCAAACATTCCTTATCTCCACAGTAAGATCAATGTGAAGTTGTGACCAAGATCTCAGTCTGAACCTCAAAGCCTAGGGACTGTTAGCAGGCAAGTGTTCCTGACCTGAGGAAGGGCAAGGAATGGTAGCATTTAGGAATGGACCTCTGGCACTCCTCTCTGTGTCATGCTGTTTACTCGTTTTAGTCATGCTTCTTTCAGACTGGCTTGAGAAGAGCTCTGTTACTTGCCTAATGAAGATTTTCTGTCCTTGCAGGAATAAAGCGGGTTGGCTTGACAGTGAACTCAACATGTTCACACATCAGTACCTGCAGCAAAGCAGATAATGCGGGAAGAAGAGAAAAACAACACTGTTTCCTTTCAGTGCTCTCTTAATTACTGCAGAGAATGTGGTGGGTGATGGAATTCCCTAAAGGGAATGAGCAAAAGCCTATTGCTACGTTTCTAGTTGCTATGTTGAACAATAGGGTTCTGCTTCCCTGTTTTGTGTCCCACCTCTAAACACTAGCTGTTTATAACTCTTCTTTTTCCTTCTGGTAAGACCAGGCTACGTCAGAAGGAATGTGTGCTTCATAGATTTACAGGGGTCTTTCTAAAGCAAAATCAAGTACAGTAACAAATTTAAAACAAACAAATGTTTATCAGGTTAAAAATTAATCTGACATGTCTTTATGGAGTCATTCATTTTACTACACGAAGAAAGAACTTTTGACTTCCAAGCCCCAAGTTTGTGTATGTGTGACAAGCAGCTGTTTGTCTAAACACAGATCTCATGCACACAGCTGTAATGATGTTTTTACAGGGCAGTTATAGCCCATGCAGGCATATGTCCTAGATTAATATTCCATTATAGAACATCACAGAGAATCACCGTATCCCTTCATAGAAAAGTTTTATTACTGTCAGGACGTTTAAACATATGAACAAAACCCAGTTCTCTTCCAGAGCAAGAGGGACTAAGATTTTGCTTTGGTAAGCTTATTGTCTTTGGAGTTAGTTTCTTCCTCTTGAGAGCTCTTTAATAGTGCAATCTGTCCCATTTCAAGTCATAGACAAATAGTTTGCAAAGACATAACTAGCTCCTGCGAAGGAGGTAGTGCTGATAGTTTGGCAGCTTGCTGAGGAAGAAAAAAGCCCGTTGACATAATGTAATGAGCTGCCTTATGAGATAAGTTGAATGTGGGGTTTTTTTGGAAATGCACAGCTGTGTTTCTGTAAGCAGGCCTTTGGAATTCCATTACCACAATTTGGCCACAAGAACAGCATGTGGATTATGACTGTAAGAGATTTTGCTTCATGCAGAGTTCCATAGGATGTTACGGTCTGTGCAGTAATATGATTTGATGTTGTTTCTCTTCTGTTAAAAGTACGAGAATGAACTAGCAAGTGCAGCTCCTCTGGGGCAGGCAGATGTGTCCATTGTATTTCATGCCAAAGCAAGAATGGATTAAAGCAACTTACTTTTTTTAAAAGCATTTTTTATTTGCAAATAGATGAAATGAATTTTTGAGTTTTGCCCTGAAGCAATTTTGAATTTGGAGTATGAGATTTGGGAATTGTAAGGACTTTGAGTCTCTTCCTGTTGGGATTGTCAGAGGAGAAATTCCCACTGATTTCAGTAGTACCAGGATTAGTTTCCTATGTTTCAAAGTTTGTTTTCCACTTAGTGGATCAGTATTTTGCCATGTGTTGGGTATAACCTTTCTGTTCCTCACAAAAAGTCTGAGGAATCCAGAATCAGATCCCATAATTTTGGGGTTAGTGACAACCTAAATCTGTTCAGCATCAAACTCCACAGAATATGGACTATCTTTGAACAGATCACAACTGAGTTCAGAACACTAAGCAGTGGATTTTTTTTTTTTTCCTTATTGACAATGATACTTTTCACTTGAAGATGGTATCAGCTGGCTTTAGGATTTCTTGTTCGTGTGCAGGTGTGAATCTATGTGCCTGTGATAAGTCCCCTGTTTTGTGTGTCATGGAAGTTCCAGAATGAAGCAGCTGCCTGATACCTGAGGGAGTAAAAATAATGAAAAGTCAGTAAGTACTTTAGGCTTTCTAGGATCAGTAGTAAGACTTGAAGTATCTTGATCATAGGAGCTGGCGGTAAGACTCTTGTTATGTTCCTGGAACGCAGGAAGAGTAAACCTTTCACTTCCAGTAGACAGGTTTGAATCCAACCCAGACTGAAAAGCTGTTTTCATCAGAGGGCTTCAGTGGCCTTGGTCAGTTTCCTCATGCAACCACCAGGCCATAAATACAGCTTGGATTGGATCTGAGAATGAGTAAGGAAGAAATTTGAGTCCTTGCCTCTGGAAATGTGTTCTCTAGGCTTGTGGTAAGCAGAACCATCTACTGTTATTCTGCTGCAAGTATTATGTGAATAAATTCACATCTCTAGTCTCTCAAGCTGTCACATACATGTTTGTAATAGGCAGTGTACTGTGCTTTTGAGTTAAACCATAAAGCACATCCCTAGTACCCTGGGAAATTGCCAATTCCTGGTAGGGGGAGATGATGAAGTACCACTGTGCAGCAGCTCTAGGCTAGCTGAAATACTACCCTTGCTTTTGAAGACGTGTGGTGTTAGCATCTCCTCAGCAGGCCCTTAGGGGAAATCTGATAAATGAGCTGATTTTTAAGCCAATGTCTCATCTGTAAAGGGAAGAAGAGATTGATCTGTTCTTAGAATCTGGTGTCTTGCCAATGTGTGTGTTTGTGACACTGTTCAGATTTTGGTGATGTAGGCATTCTCACTAGTGTTGAAACCTAACCTATAGAACGGGGGAAAGAACCACTTGAGTTTTTTAAGAAGCAAAACTGCTAACATGGGAGGGAAGAATTTAAGTATGTGCGTAACCCTTGACCCTAGAAGCCTGAATGATCAAGAATCAGACTTTTAACAGAAAGGCCTGTAAGCTGGATTCCTCTTAAACAAAGTACAGCTGTACTTCTTTAATTCAGAGTGAGGAGGAATGAATGCTATCATCAAGGAGGCTCTTCTCTTCTGATTTTCCTAAGGAATGATAAACTAATCCTTAGAACAGGTAATTCCAAAAACAGTCTTCCCCAAACTCTTATTAAAGAAGGTCAGCTAAATGCACTTTATCTTATTGCTGCTACTTATTTTTCTCATTGTGTTAATGTTGATGGAGCTCTTCAAAATACTCTTACCAGTGAGTTTTCTCTCTGCTGTATTTAAGGTGATAAATTTGCATGAATTATTCCTGTATCAATGCTGTAAACAATGGAAACCAAAATAAAAATGAATTGGAAAAATATTTCTCCTGCTGTGTTCTGCATGTCGTGATACAAAGTCTTCAAGTGTAAGTATAATATACTCAGATGATTATGCTACCATGTTGTAGTAAATGACATGTTTGATGATAGTGACCTTTTATCTGTGTTCTTTCTGTGAAAATTAACAAGGAGGCCAATGCTACTGTATTATCTGATAGAAAGTTTAATAGAAAGTTGAAAATTACACTAAAAATGTGATTTCTTGAGAATATTGTCAGAGGGAATGGTCAGCAAAAACTGCGTTAATAGGCTGGGAGGGGGGTGATTCAGTGTTCTCAGTTGATAGATGACAGGCCCCGTGCTGGAGGAGGCAGATTGCCAGTGATAAACTTCCCGAGCGCTCCCTCTTCGCCTGGCGAGGCGCCGGGGGTACGCGGTCCGCGCAGCCCGGGAGCCTGAAAGGAGCAGCTTCGGGGCCGCCTCCTGCCCTGCCCCAGCACGGGGCTGCGGACAGCGGCTCCCCGCGGGGCTGCCCCGGCTCCTCCCGCCGCCGGGCGGTGCCCCGGGAGCCGCGCCCACGCGGGGCGGGCCCGGCCGTGGCGAGGCCCGGCGGCGGCTGGAGCGCGGGCGGCGGCGCAGGTGGGCCTGGAGCCGCGGAGAGAGCGTGGGGGGTTTGAACGTCCTGGCGAGGCTCGCAGCTCCCCGCGCCGTGCTCTGGAGGGAGGGCGCAGCCGGGGGTCGGGAAGAGGGAAGGGGAATTTCACAGTGCTCGGGGCCGCCTCCCCTCCCTGAGGGGCGTGGGAGAGCCGAACCGGCGCGTCTGCGCGGAAACGGCTCTGGGAGGCTCTGCGGAGTTGTAAGGCAACTTCCGTTGCAGGCGTGAGAGTTGTTCTCTCCCAACACAGCCATTATTTATTTTTAACGGCTAGAAGCAAAGCTCCTTTTTGCAAAGGATCGGGACTCAAACAGTTTCATAAGCTTGAGCCGCTGGGGTTGAACACGAAGGACTAACGGCTTCTTGTAGATTATGCCAAGAGTGGACCTCATCTGGTAAAACCCTTCCAGAAAGCCCCTTGAGTGATGTTATTTTCGGAGTATTTGCTTTCTGATGAGCAATGATGTTGTTAGCTTAGCCCTGTGAATACTGTGAGAGCTTTTATTTTGTTCACATGATCACAATTTAGTGCCTCCAGACTGACATTTCTATTTTATGTCCAGTAGCACGCCTCTCACTTACTTCTTGTAACGAAAAGATAGTTGTAGTTTTTAGATTGTTAGCACTGCTCTTGGTTCCTCCCAGCGCTGTTGTACAGCATATACAGTTGATTCCTCCTGTCCAGTTGCCAGGGTAGCAGACACAAAACCAAATCAGATGAACTTTGGAGAAGGCTTTAGAGATCCTTCAAAGCAAAAGGTCCTAGCAAAGCACGTAGTTTTCTTGAGAACACAGTTGATTACTCTAGCCAAAAGCAATGTGAGGGTTTTTTTATGTTTTTATAGTATTTAAAAAAACACTTCTTGCAAATTTAGAGGAGCTTGTGGTGTTATAAACATGTTGAGCACTGTGACAGCCTTGCAGTCAAACTAAGCTTTATTTATTTATTTGTTTGTTTGTTTATTTATTGAAAACTTTTCCCTCTGTCTTAAAAAGGCAGTAACCCTTAGTGATTGGAATTGTATGAGCCCTAGTCCTGAGTTGTAACTGAGCCTTTTGGAGTCTTCCTGGATAGGAAATGTGGAGGACAGTTTTCACTTAATATTTCTTTTGGATGTAGGAAATACATTTGTATTCATTGTTCATACTTTGAACTTACGAGCATCCTGCTATTATCACAGTACAAATTTTAGTGCTCAAAAAGAACATTAAAGCAGAGTTGCGTAAGGTTGTCCTAATATCAGCCTCTGAATCAAATGTCTCTTATTTGGCTTTTTGATGTGACTTTTTTCATGTTTACTGTTTCCTTTGTGAGAGTCTCTTGTCTCTGTTCAGTCATCTGCCAGTTTCTGGGTGCAAAATATTTGACAGTACATCTGAGAGGAGGGAAGTCTGCAGTGGTGCTAGTTCTTAGCATAAAGAGTTTTGAGACTGGCTGATTTCTCAGGATCAACACTCCCCAACGTTCCAACAGCTATAGGTGATCTTTATGAAAAGTCCCCTGCAAGTGCTTTCTCCTGAGTCTGCTTCTTTGCTTAATGCTTCCATTTATGTAGTTCACCCTTCCACCTGCTTTACAGGAAAAGGATGGAGTTAGAGCACCTGAAGAGTCTGCGTCAGGTGAACCAGAACCTTCTACAAAGGCTCAGAATCAAGCAGGAAGAGATCAGGAAAAGAGTTCCCAGCAAGTCGCTCTTTCCAGCATCTCTTCATAATAGAGCAGCTACTGAAAGATCCGTCCCCTTGCCCAAGAGAGGGGTATGTGCTGTGTCTGTGCTAGAAGTGCTGGGAAGCAAATGGTCACTGTCAGATTGGCAGTGTCTCTGTCTATGGAGTGGTGTGGTAAAGGAGACATGGAGATGCAGGAGCTGGTATAAAGTGGGATGTGAAATCTCTTAGAAAGGTAGCTAGACTTTGTTTATTGTTTATCCTGTGGTCTCCAGTGTGTTCTCCTTGCAAAAGGTTCAGATATCAGTTCCTGCCTAAGAAATGTAGGTTTCTTAATCTAAGATAGGAATGAACATTGTGGGAGACATAATCCTTCTATTTCTTCTAAGCACAAAGGCTGAAAGTTTAGCAGTTCCTCAAATTGGGAAAAGCTGAATTTAGCTGGAGGTGGATCCCTTTCTTAACTTCTCCCAACACTTAATAATGTCTCATGAATGATATTTTCCCCACAGGAATTTAAAGAGGTGAGCAGACTAGAATGAGAGGTTGATTTTCTCTCACTGAGTGAAATGTCCTAATGAAAGGTATTTTTAATCTGAGTACTGCTACCACGTGCTTATGAGAGTCTCTGTACTTACAGAAGGAAAATCAGGTTGATGCTGTGAAGTCTACAGCTGACCCTGCAATGTTGGTGTCTGTGGAACCTGGAGTTTACAGAGCCAGAGCAGCCCTCTGTTCATCTCTTAAACACAGCAGCAATGACAGAGGGGTACAGCAACAACAGGCGAAGATGCAGGAAGCAGTAGGTTTGGATTCCAGCTTTCCTGGGAAAGAGAAGAATGTTACGCCAGTGTCTGCAGACATTACATGTGGCAGAGAACCTTCCAGAGTGGATAGGGATGGCTGTGCTCAAGGAAGTCCAGAGAACGAATCCTTCCTTCTGGGACATGGAGAGAACAGAAAACAGTCTCCTCTGCTACATGGTTTCCATGAGAAAAAACAGATTAGGGGTCATCTGGAGCCATCACTAAGCAGAATAAAAAGTGACCAGACCAGCAAGCTGCATGGAGTCATTAGAGAGCCCAGAGTCCATAAATCAGTCTTGCAGGCATCTCAGTCCAAAGAGTTGAAGGTAACCGGTGAAATCAATGCTTTGTTTATTTTCATAAGTCATAGAAGGGTGGGGAGAAAAGGTCGGGAGAATGTTACTTGCTCTGTTCCCACTGTAAATTGGAAGTTGGGGTCAGAACTGCTCCCAGCCTTAGCAGCCAGGGGCTGTTGGAAGTTTGTTCAGGCTCTACTTCCCTCAGCCTTTGAACTGAAGACCAGAAAACTGTAGCACTTCACTGTAAAATTCGTCATTTGCCTATGTGACTCATGCTCAGGGAGAACAGCCTGGTGCAGTGCTGCTGCTACATAGCTTGGTTCCTTAAGCGTGAAGGGCAGGCTATTGCTGTGATCATCCTGCAAGGCAGTGTGGGTGGCCTGATGTTTGGGGATGCGTGATGTAGAGAAGTCAGCATTTTGTCTAAAGCCCTGAAAAATACAGCCTTAGCCTGAGTAAGTCCCCTGCCTCCTCATTTTATGAACTGAGAAGACAAAGGGCTTGTGAAAAAATTACTGGTAGCCACAGATACAGTCCAGCCTCAAACGGAGCCACAGCTGTTCCCTTTGAACAGCTGCCAGTTGTCTCCCAAGCTGTACCTTTGAATGTCCTGCTGGATGTATAGGAAGTCTTTTTGAATTGTTTTCTTTCCAGAAGGAAGCTGGTCATGTGGCTTTTCACTCTGACCCTGAAGAATATACCATACCTGAGAGCATCTGGTCTGTGCATCCTTTCCTGGGCTATGACTGGATTGCAGGTGAATCCTAAACCTGAAGCAAAGCTCTCAGCATGACATGGTAATACGAAGAGTTAAAATACAGTTTACGACCCCTTTAAGTTGAGGTGTGACAGAACTTCAGACCTAGAGCCTGTGTAGCAGGCCTCAGCAGAGGAGCTGCAGTTTTTTTTGAAGCTGTTCCCTCTCCAGGCCACTCTGCTTCCCTGGAATGGTGAAGTGGCAGTGGTGTGGGAATCCGAGCAGCAAATGGCAAAGCTGAGTGGGGTCAGAAGGGATACCAAGTAACCAAAATGAATGAATGCAGTAAGGGAGCCATACCACGAGGTAAATCTCTGGCTTGACCTGATGGCATGTTCTTCTCATCCATTTTGGTGCTTCAGACCTTTGGCTGTTCTGACTCTTTTTCATGAGGCTTGCTTTGATGCTTTCCCAGATTTCGTAAATCCTTGACCTTTTCCCTTTCCTTGGTGTTCTCAGGGCTCCTAGATACAAACTCTTCAGTAGCAGAAAAATCTGACGAATACTTTGCTGAGCTGCACGAGTTCCGACAGGCCAACAAAGAAGCTTGTATTCATGAGCAACACCTGGAGTAAGTGGGTATGGGGAAAGGACTGAAGCAGCAATGTATACTTTTAGAGTAATGAGAAGTATAGTTTGATTGGAGTGGGAAATTGTAAGAGTGTCTTTGTATGCCTTTATGTATCTCCCAATCAGAAAAGTATGCTTGGAAAAGCTGTCCAGAGGGCCTGAGCACCTGTCACTGACTAATTTCTTTGTGTGTTTGTTTAGGCCCAAGGCTCTGGATTACATAGTTCCTGAACAAGAACCAGATTTGATAACCAGTTCCCATAAGTGTAAGATCAGATTTCTTCCTAATCCAATTTCTGTGAACAAGCTACTGAGCAGTCTTTGCCTGTCATTCTGAGAGCACTCCACATCATGCAAGACAAGGATGTGTTGTTATTAGCTGCAGCTTCTAAACCAGATTCAATTTCCTACTCCAAAGACACTTGAGTCTTCTGGGGATCCTCTCTCAATCAGTGTCATCTTATTTTGTCAGGGTTTCTTGTAATTGGCTCATGTTCTCTTTTTAAGTTGAGGAGGTTGAAGTTTTGGTTTTGCTTTTTAGGAACTTATTTGGGGACAGGAAACAAACGTAAAAAGTACTTCAGGAAAAGCAGCTCTTTCTATAGAATGTGTGTGTGGCACTGCGGTAGAACACAGCTTTGTTGACTGATTGAGGAACCTTCTGACAAACTAGAAATACCATGATGGTTCATTGCTCTGTGGCAGGTGTTTACTGCTACCGATTAAACCAGCGCCTCTTCACTGTCCCTGTGGATTCAGAATCTTCCTGCTCTGTGTGTAACATCCCACGTACTCACCAGCCCCCAGAGATACTGGAAGAGCCAGCCTATGTGAGGTAGATAAGAATTATTGCTTTGTAATATGTAGAACTCAAGAATAGGGAAGAAAAATTTGACAATATGAGGGAGAAAATGGCATCAAAATAGGTCTGTAGAAGGTTGCTGTTCTCAAGGCAGAGATCTGTCTTGCTTAAAACCTCCCTACTGATCTTTTCCATAAGCAGAAACAGTTTTTAAGTCAGTGAGATGCATGTTTTATCTGAAATTGGTCCAGAGTCTGAATGTACATGTTGAGTGTCTAATGCCCTAATCCAAAACTGTTTTGCTTGGTTCACTTTGGGATTTAGGCTCTTGGATTCTGAGTGGGGAAGGCATGCAAATTTCCACTGCCTTGTCAAAGGTGTAGGCAATTACTTCCCTTGTGTGGTTGCAGGGTCAGCATTCCCAGGTCTACCCTTATGCCTGCCTACAAATACAAAGCCCATCGCAGGAAGAGCTTTGAGCCAGCAGACAATCTAGCCTTACCTTCGGTAAGTTGCTGTGTTCTTGCTGATACTGAATGCACAGCCCAGGCTGGGCATTGTTTTACAGCACAAGAAGGAAAGAGAATCTGGGACTCATCCCCCTGGCAGGGTTTCCACTAAAATTTCTGATCTGTGTCACTGAGATAACAAGAAAAAACATTGGTTGTGCTTCTGAGTTCATACCTTTGTGTAACTGGCATGAAGTATATGACATATCTCCACATGCTTTACACTGAGAAAAAGAAAGTGCCATATGGAGCTGTATACTTCTGGGGCATGATTCAGCTCACTTATTTCAGGCATTGACCTTTCAACATGATGAACCATACCTAAGAGTGCCTGTGTGTCTTTCTACAGATCTTAGGGAGTCTAAAACACAAGCTTCTGTGAAGTATTCACAGTGTATAGGGGCCAGGCAAAATCAACAGTGGCAAGGGTAATTTAAAACTACTTTTGTACAGTTGGTCCTGTGTTCCAGCCACTAGGCAATGCTGCAGGCATTATTACTCATCAGACCTAGCCCTGGCGTAGATTTCTAGGGAAGAGGTGGGAAGAAATCTGGGTTTGCGGTGTAGGGAGCTGGATGAGTCAGTCAAGGCGGGTTTAGAGAGTTCGGGTGCTTAAGTTCACAAAGCAGATTTGTATAGAAATAATTAGTGAAAGGTGGAAGAGGGAACAGCTGTGCAGTTTTGCTTCATTCGGGATTTCTTCTCTTTCCTGTTAGTCGTATAAAACTCTTCAGAAAACCTCCCTGTGCAGAAGTTGCTATTTATAACTAACAAGCCCATCTCTTTTTCACAGCATTGCCTAGCTGGCTGGGAAAATATCATCCCTTCCAGCAACCCCAGGCTCAGCAGTTTGGATCTGCAAGCTTCACTGGAAAAGAAGCCTTCTCAGCATCCTTGCCTGGTAAGAATAGCCTGTTGAGAGTCCCTGGGGATGCTGTGAATTGCACAGATGGGAACTGCCATCCTGTCTGTCTAGAGCATATGAGAACCATTGACGGTTATCTCCTTATCTCCACAGGAAACCATTTTCCTTCTGCTGCTGTGTAAACTAGTGTGCTCAAACACAAAAAAGAAAACGGAGGTGGATAACAGGCAAAAGCCTGTTCAGCTCACCAGTCTTCATCAAAATGGTAAAAGTCACTTTGGCATTCTTTGTTTAATATCCTCTTCTTTTGGATTCCAGAACTCGGTGTCCAGAGTGTCAGGAGGGACCAGAACTGACCAGCTTCTGAAGCTGACCCACACGACACACTTCTGATTTAGCAGTGCTTCTCAGCAGAGGGAGCAAAACAAACCTGGATGCTACAGAGCCGCTCCAAGTTTAAATCTGAGTGCCTCAATTCTGTGAACCACCGACTTGAGTGCCCTGGGGAAGGGATGGGTACAGGGTGTGGAAACAACTCTATTTGGATAAAAATAAATCTTGGAACAGATTTTTCCTAGTTTTCATAGTTATGCACATACATGAGCAACCAATACACGTGTGAGAGTTTGTACATTCAACTATGTTTTTTCACTTTTCTTTTTTCCTTTGGTAGGTACTTCTAAGCAGATGCATGAGCTTTCCCGCCTAGGGCTAAAGTGATGTGTGCAGGATGACTAACTAGTACTGTTACCACTAGGACAGCTGTAGCAACAGAGTTCATCTGCCACCTCAACTAAATAAACCAGAAGTGCAGTGTTAACTCTGAATGCCAGGGTGAGGAATGGGCCTGTGAATGGCCTGGTTTAGTGGAGTGCATACAGATAGGTTAATTTCCAAATGCTTGAAACGTGACACATAATTTGCTACTGCCTTAAACTTGAGTTACTCAATAATTTAGTTAAAACAAATCCAGTTTCGTTTCAGTGCAATGTCTGTAGCTACAGGGTGCAATTATGAATGTGAAAAAGCATGTTAAAGTAAAATGAGGTTTTAATCATCAGAAGCCTTGATAATGCCTTAAAATGTTTGCAAATTATGCATGCCTGTGCTTTTCCAAGTTTTTTGAAGATAAACCAAAAACATTTTGGAGTTTTTAAAATGTGCCGAAGCAAAATATATTCTATAGTTTGATTTGTTTGAAGTTTATAGACTGATCTTACTTTCCTTGTCTAAAATTGATTAAAATTATGTTTTATTTTGCCTTGAATATGTCTGAAACAGGAATTCCTGCCTCAAATTTATTTCTTGACAGAAGGAATTGGGTTCACACCAAGGATATTTTCATCTTCTTGGCATTCACTGTTATTTATTAATAAAATGTATTAATATACTATTTTTTTAAACAAGGAAAGGAATAGTGCAAGTTTATGAAATCTTAATATAAGACTTAAAATGGAAAGTGAAAATTATGACTGATCAGTTTAACTTTGGGTTGTGCATATGTAGGGTAAAGTGAATGGAATTCATCACATTATTTCCATTATTGAAAATACTCATTTTAAAATAATCCAGTGAGTATAAAATACTAGCTGCCAAATGTTATACGAAATGGGGTAAACTAAAGATTTTTACTACCTTGTCTTCAAACCCCAAAAATTAGAAGTCATAAACCGATTCTGAATTTATCCTGAAATTAATTGCAGCAAGCCTGCTCCACTTTGAAAAGAGAAAATGAAGTGAATGCAGGACATAACCAATATTGAACTCAAAATATCTCTTGATAGCTAAGAATACATTAAATCTTTTACACTTGTGAAAGTACTGAAAGTGTGATTATGACTCTCTTCCTCTGCCAGAAACAGGTGAAAGAAGTCAGTGACACCGCACCTGCTTACCCAAGTTAACCTCAATTTGTCTCTGTATGTTGGTTCTGGCCTGTTTTATGCTGCCCTCATTTGCAAGCTGAAACAGACTGAAAATATTACCTGTCTATGGAACTTCTTTTTTTTTTTTCTAATTCATCTCCCTTTATATCTCTCAATTTCAAGGCTAAGCTTTACAACGCCAGACCTTGTCCAGAGTAGCAAACCTTCAGAAAACGTTCTTTTCCCCATGTGTGCACTCCAGGCTAGCTTTAACTGCCTCTGTACCCTTCTCTTGTGTTCTCACATTCCCTTTCGGTGGAACTTCTCAAAATGCTCAGTCTCAAAATATTTTTTTTTAATTATCTGAGCCATTCCATGTGCCCTTTTTGCTAATTAAAAAAGAAAAATCTCACATTAGAAGAAGTGATCTCAATTTCCATGTTAAAATATTGGCACCTTAGTTCACTTGTCTGAACTGGTGTAGGGAATTGTTTCCTTTGCTCTTTGTTTATTACTCTTTCAGAGTGGAATATCTAATTTGCCTATTAACTTAAGAGAATGACCTGATGGTTCTATGTTGTTTTTATAGTGATGTCTCCATATCAGTGCAGAATAATCTTATATCATGACCCTTTTTGCATAGGGAATCTAACTAGTGTACTCTGGTCTTCCAGCAGCACTTAAGCAGACTGTATGTTTTGAAATTTCTACTCTGAGTAGTGCCCAGGTGTGTTTGTAGCTGACAATGTACAGAAACAGATTTGTCTGCTGGGCCAACTTGGTCTTCTGTTTCCATTCATAATTGAAATGTTCAAAGATATTGCAATTGGAGCCTGGTTAATATTGTTGGTACATGATCCAGAATTTGATCTAGAACTCTTTGTCTCTCTGGAAGGGAAACAGGAGGTCTAAAACTGAGTAAACCCATATTTTTTTAATTAGGACACCTGGCCACGGATGTGCATGGAGGCCTAATCTTCTACTAAGAAGGTGATTCATGTATCATCAAGCTTCTGATCATAATTTCACTTCAAGGTAGAGTTACCAAAAAGATGCTTGCTCTAATTTCATATGACCTGCAGCTGAGGTAAATATGTACTCCTTGCATTTGTTTTCTCACCATCACTCAGCTGAGGTCTGTAAGGCTATGTGCCAAGCAGTGTAGCTGCTGATTGTATTCAAGATGGCAAAAGTACAAATCCTGGTTAGTTTAATTTGAACAGCAATAATGCAAGGAATAGTAACACAAAAGTCATTTCTAGAAAGTGAGGTCATGCTTTATGAGAACCAGATTTTTTAATTTTTGGTACTGAATATGAGGCAAAATCTCAATGCAAGAGATGGGCAGAGGAAGCTTTATGCAGCCTAGAGTAATGCTGGGTGACAGGCCTGCACCAGATGCCTTCCAATGATGTGCTTTGAGGAGTAGGTTGGGTGTGGATACATGAATGAGTTACAGTGTAATAACAAACTTTTGCACGGTGGCTTTGTCCTGCAGTAAGTGTTGCATAGTCCAAGATAACAGACCCTTTCATGTAGGAGGGTGGCTCAGATGTCACCTGGGGGTACATTGTAAAGGAATTGCATCTATTTGCTGATCGAAAAATTGCATTTCATCCAGCGTTAAACCAGCTTTTGCACTTGGACTGTGGATTCTGCAGCAACCTGGTGGAGCCAGTGCTGGAATCTGCACTTCCAGGTGAGAACAAAGGGTGGATGTAGCATCAGTGGGATGTCAGGATTGTGGGTAGGAAAACAGGAACATTTGCTAGAGAGGAGGCTAAGCCGAGGTGAGATTGTGGGATTATATAGTAGTAGGAAGACAGAGGGGTGAGAGGTGTGTTGGGAGGAGGAAGAGGGTGTGAAGTACTAGGACAGTAGAGAGGAGGGCTGGACTGGGAAAGCAGGAATGTAAGATGTGTGGTTGGGGGAGACCTTTGCTGATTTGGGGTTCAGAATGGTGTGGTAAGGAGGGGTTCCCAAAAGTACCAGTATCTCCAGGGCTATGCCCTTAGCCACAAAATAATACAAATACTGAACCCTGTTGTGTGGGCACAGGGTTCTGGGATAGCTTGTCTCCTGTTCCTGGAGGTAGTAATGCTGCTGCATGGCCTGTGGCCAAGATTTAGGGAGGTATGTCCCCCTAATGCCCACGATGCACAGTAAACCCCAAGGAGAAAGAATTCTCTACAACAGTTGGTGAGGAAGGATCTGCTTAAACCTGGCTTCGTTTGTGTTGCCATTACATGAGAGACAAGATGTTTCTTGTAATGGTTTTAAGATGAAATTTTTTAATCTTGATCAGCTAGGAGTGGGAAGAGAGAACTCAAATGAGCTCATAGAGGGGTGTTACTGTCTTCTGCAATGGGGCATAAAATCTGTTGGGGAGAAGGCAGTGATCTTCCACTCTGATGGGTGACTGATGTGTGTGATTACAGTGGAAGACTTTACTGGGAGAGTAATGTATGTATTTGCCAAAATTGGAAGCTACTATGTTGCTCACAGTTCACTGCCACTAAAAGTTGGAATAGCCAAGTGAAGCCCAGCATTCTTGACTTGACCTGGATTTGATTTTTTTTTTTTTTTTCTGTTCATAGCACCTGGGAACATGCTGGCTTAGTCTGTGCAGTTGTGTCTCCTGTTAATGGCTGGCTCTAGTGTGCGTGCCCATTTGTGGTCTCTCTTGGCATGAGTGATGACTGCCTGATGCTTTGATGGTAAAGCTGGTGGTTTAGTTCCCCTTTCTGATTGTGTTGCATGATTCATAAGCTGGGAAATCCATTTTTGCTTAATTAAACAAATTAGACACAGTAAATAATGCATTTGTAATTGGTTTTAACAGAGAAGTGAAGTTCAGTCTTTAAAATGTAGGTCCGTCTGCTTCTCAGTAACAGTGTTAGACTGCCATTAGTGTTTTGTCTGTTTGCTTCCTCTAGGATTATTGTAAGATAGTTTTGGTGATGTCTCAGGATCAGGTGTTTCTTGCTGTCAGTACACTGTAAGAATTAATATCAAGAGTATTGAATGAATGTAGTGCTGATTTATTAATTCTGTTTAGTTATCGTGTCAAGGAATGACTGTCTTCAGAACTCTCAGGTGAAACATCTGCATGTGGCATGATCTTGCTTTTTGAATAATTTGTGAACTTTGATTTTTGGGGCTTTCATCTCTTTGGAACTTGTGCTTTCAAAGCTCAGAAGAATTTGTTTTCAGAATGTGCCAAATCTGAAAACACAAAAGAACATCTGCCCCATCTCTTCAGAGTTAAAAACCTCAATTTCACCGGTTTCCTGGGTAATGGCAGATCAAATGTAAGGACTTGGTTTTCTGTTTCAGCTGGTGTATTCCATTGGTTTCTGCAGAGCAAAGCGATGCTGCTAGGAAGAGGAAAATAAAGACCCTGAGTTGTCAGAGTTGAGGTCCTCAGCTACAGTCATAGAAAAAAGTTTTACAGTCTTTGAAAAAGCTGTGTCCTGGAAATCTTCCAATTTGTTTCTTTCACAAAAGTTAGTTAATATTTCCCAACTTTGTTTTGCTTCTGTCAGCAAAGCAAAGCTCATCTTACTTCTCTTAATAGATAAGCTTTATAACTCACAGCTTTTACATGAGGAGAACCACAGTACAAAGAAAGGATATGAGTTACCCAAAAAGTCTGTGATGGTACTGGGAACTTATGACTCCCACTCCTGTGTTTTAACTTCATGGCCAGTCTTCCCCAAATATTTTTATTTTTGATTTTGGATTAAAATGTATAGAATTGGAACTCTTGGTGCTTTTTAAATTTCCTTGTTTTACTTCCCAGGCATATACAGAGAGCATATTTCAATTGCAACAATAGCATTAACAGTTGTGTATGAGTGAACAAATGTAAAATATTTGCATAAAAGGTAGTTAACAAGGAAAACTCAGGCATATCTCCTTATTATTTGAACTTGGTAAGATTTTTTGCTATTCCAGTAATAGAGATCTAGAATTACTATGTTGAATTCACTGGAGTTTGGTTTTATATTTGTGTAAATGCGAGCAGAATTTCTTGTTATTAGAAGGAAGTGAAATGCTCATAATTTCAGTAATCTTCTGATAGCGTGTATTTATTCCCAAAGTGTAAAAAAAAAAAAAAAAAAAAAAAAAAAGTAAATATACAGAGTGCATCAAGATCATAAGTAATTTCCAGTAAATGATACAGTAGTGTTTCATCCTGAAACAGCTGGTTTATTTGGGAACTGTTTATTGACTTACAAATGAACTTCACAGGTTAAATGTTTTGAAATAACTGAACCTGGCTACAAAAAACCTGTCTGTCAGTTCATACATACAAAAAATCTGAAAGCAGATCTTTTGTGAAATGACAAAAGCTCTGCAAAAGCTTCTTTTACCTCTCACTTTGGTTCTGTCCTATGCTTGAATCTCTCACTTCATAGTACCTTTCACTGAAGTTTTCTTTAGCGTCTTCTGCAAGAGTTTACAGACGGAAATTCTTGAGAGCCTGAGTATACCTTCTGGTTTGATTCCATTCACAGTTGAATAACATCTTCCAAAAACTGTAGGTGAAAACTGGATCTGATGGGTTAGATTTTAGTTTTCATGAAACTTAAATAATTAACACCTAGACTGGAGTACAAGAGCAGCATTAAAAATGCTCAGTCTGATACTCAAAAGTTAAGAAATGCTAGCGTTAAAATTTCTTTGCACATGCCCACTTCCTCTAACATGTTTTTTCTTTACAGTATCAAATCAGTCCAAGCTGCCTTCATCAGTTGTCTACCTCCCTAGTGAGCTGGTCTCCTTCCTCTCCAGTCCTGGTCCTGAGTTTCTTCTAGTCTAAGCTTTTTGATCCCTGATTTTGTCTTTGTCCTCTATATGAATTATATGGCACTTTCTTTCCAAAACTTCGGTTTGAAGGTCTCCTTGAAAGCAAAGGAGGTAGTCTTCCTCTTCTCAATGCCAGATCCTGGTCATATGCTGATGAGGAGAAATTGCTATATAGAAAGTCTGGTTTTGCTTCTGAAACTCCATGTGGGAATTCAGCAATGTGAAGATATTGCACAACAGGCAACTTTGGGAGCTGCAAGCTCAAGAATGCTTAGAGATCTCCCCACTGAAAATCAAATACATTCACCATCCAGTTTGTGCAAGGTTTGGATTTTTATGAGGCATTAGGTTGGTCAGTTTTTGGTAGACTTTCATGGCTTCTCAAAAGGCACGTTCCTGATACAAGAGTTACCTTGTAGTAGGGGAATTCAGGAATTCAGACTGAGGCAAATGTCTGCCCTGACAACATTCTGCTCTAATACTTGAGAGTTTGACTGGCTTGTGAGGAGCTGAAGAATAAGATCATAAAGTGCCAGATAAAGCTCAACATCAGACTCATGAAGAATAACTATGCAGTCAAAATCAAATAATGTAAACCTTCAACATTCTGTTTTGACTATGACTTAACTATTTCAAGTAGATTTTCTAAATGGGAGGAATTACTATGAAATAGTTTATTTACTGCACCTGCTGCTTATTAGCTCTCTGCGTGGACATACTGTATGTTTAGAAACTTGCTAGCTAAATGCAAGTATGTACTTAGCTTCTTGCCTTTTACCAGTCCTTTCATCTACCTGATGGCTTTATAGAAGCCTGCCTGCACTTTCTGATTAGGTAGGAGAAACCATGAGCTTTATGGAACTCCAGACAAACACTTTGACATGAGGTAAGAATGAGCTAAAATCAGAGCTGGTGCTCATTGATTAATTTGTAAGAGTTAAAAGGTGGGGAGAGGGGCCCCAAAAAATAATGCTGTTGTGGGTCATTTAGATTTACAGTATTACTCCAGCAAGTGAGCAGGAGGGAAGGCTTTTGCTTTAAATTAAACCAGTGCTAGAGGGAGATATGAAGAAAGGTCATGAAGGATCTTTAAAATGCCTCAGCCTTCACATGATATTACCTCTTCAAGCTTTCTTGCCCACTGCTTTCTTAAAAGCTGTAATGATCAAGTAGCTATCCTGTCTGGATCATGGAAGATTCACCTTTGGGCCTCTCCATTTCTAGCAAGGTATGGGAGGAAAGGCATAATACAAATGACATCCAAATAGTAACACCTCTGTCAAAACCCTTTTCTATGGAGAATGACGACGTGTAAATCTACCACTCTTCCAGAAGCTGTAGTCAGAATTACTGAAAGTACAGACATGATGGGATCTTTCTTCTAAGGTCCTCTCTCTCTCTCAGCCAGAGTGTGGGCATAGTAATTCTGTGATATGGTTTTGGTTTCTTTCATGGAAGCCAAGACTTTCCTGAGAGCACGGAGTTCTCTTGTCAGCTCTTCTCATTTTTCAGTCTGACTCAAAATGCACTTTGGTTTTGAGGTTACTATGCACCAGAAAAAGACATTTTACACAGTTACTTTTTTTGTTACATTAGTTATTTTATCACTATATAAAATAGTAGCATTAGTTGAGATAACAAAGAGTTACAAGATTATGTTATCCACATCAGCTTTATATAAATGACATCTGTAAAAGAAATCTAACTGAAAATTAAATCATGTTATCATCATTATTAACATGATGAGTTTGACACTTTTTTTTTTTAGCCGCTTAAATTCTTGTTTCAAAGTTCTGCATGACTTAACCCAATCAAGAAGAGAATAAAATGACAGACATATCATCATACCTTGTTTTGCATATAAACACTGGATCCAAATCTCTGAAATGCACAGTTACACTTCCAGAAAATTTGACTGTTTAAACGTAACAATACTAAGAATGACTTTGCTTCTCGAAGGCCATAGTGTAGCACTGTCATATATTGTACTATTGAAAGTGAGGATGTGTTCATGTGGAAGTAATTGGAATGAAAGCTAGGGAACACGAATGGAGTCAGTGGGCTTTGTGGGGGGATTTATAGATCTCAGCTGAAGCAAGGCTTAACATCAGCTGAGAAGATTCTTTTTTTCTCAGTACATCCAAGTTCTCTGCTGTCTGGAGAACTCTTGCAACAGCTGTGTTGTGGCTCAGAGTCAGCAAGAACAACTACTGTGGACAGCGTTTCTGAGCTTCCCGCAGTCAGGAATTGGCTGTTTTGCATAATTAGTTTCTGACATTATATTCTATAATTTAAAAAAAAAAAAAAAAAAAAGTAACCTTATAATTGCTTGGCAACAGAGCAGGATGCGTCTGCTTCCTTTGGTTGTTCTTTAATTGCCAAGAAATTTTCTGTGCTCAGCAAGAGCACAGCTGATTGAGACAAAGGCCCTGAGTTGCAAACAAGAATTAGGCTGTTCTTTTGTTTTAGATTGCTGCCTTGCGGAAGTATGAAACTACATAAAGCAAGGAAGCTGATTTCTTTTTCTATTATTTTTGCTAGAGAACAGAAACACCCTGTGAGAATGTCCATCTACTGAAACTGCAGTTACTGAAATGACTGGAATTTCCCCTATGTATTGGGAATTTATTATGACCCCAGCTCATTATAAGCAGGTTTTTTCCTGCTGGGAACTCCTGTTTTAAGCCATTGATATGATTCAACAAGGATGCAATAAGAGCTTTGTACCATCTTCCTTGTTGATCACAGTGGACAAATGTACCAAGGTAAATTGCTAAATCAATATAGATCTGCTGATCATGTTATCAAGAGCACCTGCAATGTATTTAACATATTTCAGAGTGGTTTGATTGATGGGGCATAATTAAATGGATTGACAAATATTTAATACTAAAAGTAAGAGAAGTGTATGTGCCAGAAAATAATCAGTACCAGAGTGGCACAGAGGGACAGAATTTTGCTCATCTTTGGCATACTTGGCATGAATGAGATTGTATTCTTTTTTCCATGTTCAGACAAGTTCAAATTCTTTGTCAGCTACAGCTAGTTCAAACTCAGATTGCTTGCTCACTAAGTGATGTTTCTCAATGAGATCACATTGCAGCAGTGTTGCCCTCCCTCCTGTCTGTCCTCTTCAGGTTACTGAAAGATTTCCAGAGAAGTTCAGTGTGCTGGCTTCACTTACAAAGCCTAAAATCATTGTTTTCCTGAATGCTGTCCCTGTGTGTCATTAGCAGTGTCACTTCCTAAGATCCCCAGGAAGAGAGCTCTCCAATGGCTAAAATGCGTAAGTGCAAGAGAGGTGTCAAGAAAGTAATTCTTGGTGACTACTTGCTTTCCTTCCTTTAACCATGAGATTCTTCAGTTTTTATTACAGTAAATGCTTTCATTTTTCTTTTCTAATTTGTTAAGAATTCCCCCTTTTATTTGTACCACCAATAGTATGTAGCATGTATCCCAAGGAGCACTGCCTTTGGTACTACTGAGACTCCTAGTGAAGTTTACTTTACTGAGGCCCTAGTAAAGGGTCTGGTGTTTCTTCTAGCCAAGTAGCAAGAGTTTAGTGATTTTTTTCAGCAGCATACTGCAATGCTTTAAATAGCCACGCTGACAGACACTGAGATACAGATTTTAGACAAGGTTATTTTAAAATGTATCTCCTTTATCTGTTTGACAGATGTTTAGAGATGACAGTTCTCTCAATGGTTTTTTTCACTGATACATATTAACGAAACATACATAGTTAACAACATAAGGAACCGTGCTAAAAGTACAAAATGAGATTAAAATAGGCCACTTCAGAATTAGAAAATTCTATTACTACTTTCTTTCCTAGGCCGTCACTGTTAGCAGCACAATGAATAGATGGTGCTAAAGGAATGTCTTGGGCATGTGTTAAAGAGACCTTCCCTCATGACTTAGCTGGGTCTCTGCATTCTTTTGCTCCAGGTATCAAGTGACATTTGAATAACTGCTGACTTACAGGTCCCTCTCTGATGCTCTCCACCTCAACTCGATCAACACACACAGATGATCAGCACAGATCAGATAGCCAGTGTAAAAATTACCTAAGCATAGCCTAAGCTCAGCATTAACTAAATTAGTTAAAATAGAAAATGCCAAGCAACTTTGTCTTTGGGCATTGCTACCTTTAACACCTAAACCAAAAGAAGATTCAGATGTTAGAGACAGATGTAATCAAATAAACATTATAAATAATAATAGCATGCTCATAGGGGCTTTCCTCTTTTTTTCTGGTAGACATTGTCCTCTGATGGAAGAACAGAGAAATAGGGGTTGTTTGTTTGCTTCTATTTGTTCTGGTTTGGTTTTTTTTTTTGTTTTTTTTTTTTTTTTCATATATTAATATAGAGGATTATTTTCTAGGAAATATAGGCAACATTTAGAGAACTGTAGTGTGAGTTTGTTATAAAACGGAGGTGTTTCTTCCAGTCACTGATAGGGCTTATTTTGGAAAGCCCCTTTCATTGTATTTGAAAACAAAACACACAAAGTCTGAAATTAATGCATTCAGTTAAAAGTGCATGCAGGGTGGAACATTCCTATTAAATCCAACCTCTTCACCCTTTTCATTGCTGTTGCTTTTATTACAGACTTGTAGCAGCACTGTGTGATGTAATAGACCTTCCAAAAAGCCTGGAGCAACAGTAAGCACTTCCTACTTCCCATCTTTTTAAATATCTAGCTCAATAAAGAATAAATTTAAGAATAAGAAGTTCTAAGAAGGGTGGCAGCTGGGAAGCTTGGTTTCACTTTGGACGTGTGAGATGGATTCTTTCTTCTGAGGAACATTGGTTTTCTACCACAGCCTTTCCCTCAGTGAGAGTATTACTAGAATCTTTCCTCTTTATCCAAGACATCTCCTTCCATGAAACTTTGTAAAACTTGACAGTATTGCATCCTTGAGTGAAGTTATCCAATGGGCTAAAAAAATACTGACATCATTGATTAAAAAGGAGCTGACATATGTATATATATGCAAAATACTCAGTATGCTCATTTTAGTCTTTTTCTGGAAAATGAGGTCAGAAAAACCTCCCTGTTGCCAGTCCTGGGAGCATCTTTCACACATGATTTTTTGTACTCAGTTACTTAGTTTTTGTATGGGATATGTTGACTTCAGCAGTATAACTTATAGAGGCTAAAACTTGCCAGTCTGTGACTTATGTCGGTTCCTGTCCTTTTGCTAGAAAAGCTTAGATAGGAGCTGATCAAAAACAAAAAAATCAAAGAGCTCACCAGTTGCCTTGACTACTACGTCATTTGAAAGTGCCACTCATAAATTGGGAGAATTGCCTAATTACATATTATTATACAAGATTAAGATGTTTTCTAGCCCATTACTTAATTAGGAAAACCAAGAATGTAATATTTGGGTATTCAAATACTTAGTTGTCTCTAGGCCTTAAAGGCATACTTACCAGAGGCAGCTTTTTCATAGCTAAGAGAGCTTAGGAACTGAGAAGTAACCCGACAAAGTGAAGAAAGGAGGTTAGATTTATGTATCAAATACACAGTATGCAATGTTCTGAAAATGTCTGGTTTTTATAAGGTGGTATTCTGGAGAAAGAAATAGAGGCAGTTAGCTAGGAAGAAAAGAGTTACAGTTGTGAGTTAAGATATTTACATCATCCCAGGGTCCCTGTGGAATGTTCTCATCTTTGGTACTCTATTGTGATGGCAATGATGTAGCTGTGGGTTTTTAATAAAATAATCAATTATCTGCCTTTCAATCTTTTCTCATTTCTTTTGTTTTTCTTTTTTTGCTGATAAGGATGAGAAGCAAAAAACCAAGGGTGTGAGAATTCAATTTCTCATTATCTTCCTGAGCACCTCAGAGAGGTTTTCAAGGCAGTCTGCCCTTTTTTGAAGTGGCTAACTTTTACTTCTGACAAAACTTTTAAGGCAGATAAGAAAGCTTCACATCACCTTAAACCAACTGAATCCTTTCCAGGCACCAGAGCCAAAAAACGTTATCCAGAGTAACAAATGAAAGGGAGTGAAATGATGAATAGCAGACCAAAGATTGATTGTCAGCAACAGGAATTGATTTCAAGTGGGATTGGAGGAAAGAGAAGGATTCTCATGAGCATGATCTATGGTATGTTGGTGTTTAAATGGCAATGTGTAAAGCCTAAACCTTTCTGAATTCACCCTGCTTGGTTTTGAGTTTTCACACACTCATTCAAACAGGAGTAAAATGACTGTAGTGAGAAAATGAGTGTTTCTTACTGGGAACTCTCTTGAGTCTTGGTTACAGCTCTTGAGAGCGTGGTGGATGGACGGGGCAGGGCTTGGACTCATGCCTGGCTGAGGCTTTGGGGTGGTGAAGTGCTCTCTGAGGGCAGCCTAGATGACTCAGGAGCCTGTGTTTCTGCACAGCTAGCCGTGTACCTCGGGTGACAACCTTGATGCTTGCAACTGACTCACAGAAACCCGACAGCTCTGAGACTAGTGATTGACGTGGTTTTGTTTTGTTCTTTTTTTTTACTTTTCTTGGGCAGCACCCCCCCCCCCCCCCCCCCCCTTCCTTCTAAATTGTTTTCTCAGCTTGCTTGAGTCTCTCAAAGCCTATCTCCTGTTTATCCTGAACAGCTTGAGTGGCTCTGGACTGAATGAACAGACATGGAGCAAGACTGAGCTGGACCCTGAGAGAATCTCAGCCTTCGGGAGAAGCAACCTGGCTGTGTAACCTGCGATGTTGGGAGCTAGGGAGATTTAACACTGCTGCAGATGGCTGCCTGCAGCCTGGCACTAGGACTGTGGCTCCTGCTGCTTCTCCAGGATATCCAGACAGCCCCGCAGGTAAGGAGCCTGGAGAGGTCTGGGGGCACCCTGGGCTGCAGGGCTATCCTGCCCATAGCAGTGGGTGCTGGGTAGTGGGCATTCACAGAAACAGGCTTTGTGCAACACAGTGTGATAAACGTATAAAGCAGAGCTCTCAGGAGATAAAGGTGTAAAGCAGAGCAGCCATGAGAGTTTGCCTTCTCTGGGAACTTCACAGGCAGGGGATACGAGCTATGATCTGCATCTTTTTGTTGGCATTGCTAGTGTTACTGTACCTCCAGGCACATCACAGCTAGGGAATGAGGAAAGATTTAATAGGGGTGGGAGAGTGTTCTCATTTGTTTGGGTGAGTGGCTTTTATTTTTGCATGGATGGCCAGGTGCTCCGTGACAGGCACATTCCTTACAGAGCTTGGTTCAGAGGGCTTTTGCTCACTCTGCTCATGTGAGTCAGGGCTAGTAAATTGAAAGGTGTAAAGGCAAACAAAACAAAATACTTTCCTTTTACAACCACCCACCCCTCTGATACCAACTTCCTCATGAATGGGCTATTATTTCTGCATTAAATTGCCTTAAAATAGACATAGCCCACTAGTCGCACCAGCTGATGCAGTAGATGCAAGCTAGCTCCCAGCTCAGATTGTATCACCTCTTGTGGGTTTGCTTCCCGCCCCCTCCCGCAGTGGATCACGTGGCAATGAGCCCTCAGCAGCTGGCATAAATCCAGGTAATTTCCCTGGCTGACACTTATGCACACACATTAAAAAAAAAAGGTCACTCGCAAAGGCTCTTTGCATAGGTAACGTCAAGTAGGTGAGTAATTGCACACTGTGTTGGATCCTGAAATTGGCCGTTTTCCCTTGCAGTGGAAATATGAGCATATATTAACTGAAGACACCTGTCTGTACATTGTAACTGAATGATATAGCACATCACTTGGGCTGTCAGGAAATATTTTACAAGAAACTGACTCCAATTAGATCTTTGAAAATAACCAGGTTCTGCATTCTTTTCATAGACATTTGAAAAAGATCCTCCCGGCTCTTTTGGTAAGAGTGGGAGTTTGCCCTTGTGTCTTTAGCTGTAAATTCCCCTCCCACATTGCAAGTTTGCTCTGTTTTGTCCTGGTTATCTGTCCTGCTACTGCCTCCTTCCTGATATATAGAATGATCACTGTTCTTCTATAGGATTGTACTCTGTAGTCCTTACCTCATGAATACTTAGGAGGACATTCAGATAAGCTTGCCCAGTCTGCTGAATGCAAAGTGCCTTAGGAGAAAGGCAATAGAAAGAAGATGGTATTTTTGCTATTTGACATCGCTTTTAGTATTTTTTTCACAGAACGAAAGGGGCAGAGAGAAAATTTGGTTTTCTGATACTCTTTTTCAGTGAGTCCAAATGTTGACAAATTATTGGTTACCTGGAATAAATATGTAGATCTTGCTGGGATAAGCAACTGGCTTTTCACTCTCTTTCTGTATCGCCTCTATCACAGCAACCTTTGCTTTTTACTGCTACTGGAGTACAAGTAATACTGTTGAATGTGACCTTATTGGTTATATTTTAAACCATATTCCACCTCTCTTCAGTTCACAGTTTGGGTTTTGTTTGTTTTACTATTCAGTTAACTCACTTGTTAATAATGTCTTTACTATCAAGCGGATGAAGCTTGACTATTTGAAGTGTTAGAGCATCAACTTTTGTACTCTCAGAATTTGGATAGAAGCTTGAAAGGGAGTCAACTGTTTTGCTACAGTATTAGTCAGTTCTAGAATAGCCAATGCTGGTAGAAGACTTTTTTTTTTTTTTTACCGTAATATGCTTTCTTCCTGACTTACAACTCATTTGTAGCAAGCTGATTTCTTACTCTGCCTCACCATCACTTTTTCTCTATGAGCACAAAAGACCATAATTAAATGAGTCAAACCTCGTCCTGACTGAATTACAGAGTAGCCTATTGAATTCAGCATCATCTTCACAATTGCCTTAATTTAAATTGGAATATCAAACCTGTTTGTAGATACAAAGAAAGTGAGAAGAGCTACAAAAAGCCTATTTTCTAAAACAAATTCTCAAAAGCAAGCACTGAAAAACCCAAATGCTTTGTATCAAATATGTTTGCTTTATTTAATTGGGCCTTGATCTGCAACACTCTGGAATAATAAATAGTTTAAATATTTATCTGTTCCTCTACAGCTGGCATAAAGCAGCATTAACTCTGTATCGTGTCCTCATGTCCAGTCCAGATCAGATCAATTCTGATATAGTATACAGATGCAGAAATAATGTCTGTGAGTTTTCCTGTTACAGCTGTGCCCATCAACAGAGACCTGTCATGCAAAGGGAAGGCCCTGCTCCTGGCTACACAGTGCCACCGACTTTCATGCACTGAATTTAGTGCAAGTGACTGTGCACACACAGGGGGAGTTGTCAGTGCAGTAACCCCCTGAAAAACATCTTCACAAATTCAGAAAACAGGGTTTTCGGTCAAATAAGCTCCTAGATCCAATTCATCCTCTAGAAATACAGTTGCTCTGTCTTAAACAATCAAGGATTTAGGAAGGAAAATGTCATAGACACATAGACACATATTCCCACTTTGCTAATCTATTCTTAGTACAGCCCCTTCCATTCAGAGTTTCTGGATTCCTCACCCCTAGCCACCAGTACTTCTGTGATCTTCCTTGAATTTTAAAGGATTTTTTAATAACACACAATAATGAACAGAACTCTGAGTACTAATGAACAATACTATATGTCATTGGGATAAAATTGGTATTTCTTCATTGAGACTGGATTATCTTTTGGAGAGGGGACAGGGAAATGTATGACATCTTGTTTCTTCAGGAAACACTAAGAAATGATGCCTTAAAAAGTGAAATTCTGCTAGAATTTTTAATTTCCCTGGCAGAACCTGAGTTCTGTCTCTGTCTTGAGATTCAGACAAGACTGGATAAGGAGGAGGAACTGTCAAAAGATGAAAGAGAAAAAAACCTTTGAATGTTAATTAAACACGATTTTGAGGTTACTGCATTTCATTCTGCTCCTTGCAGGGATGAGGAGAGTTTGTTCTGTAAAACTTATTAGCAATTTCCTTGATGAAGCAAAGCCACGTGCTAGTCGCTGCTGAGTATGGATTAGAAGTCTTCAGTGTTTCTAGGCGTTCCAGGAAGAAGAGAAGGGAATGGGGCAGACATTGAAGTTCTTACACACAAATTTTTCTGTACTAAATAAGTAGTAAGGGGCAAAAATTAATAAGTGAATCTTCTCTTGCTAATTGACAATTTCTGTAAGCATACTGCCCTTGTGATTTCCTCCCTTCTTATAGGTGACCCCTGTTCTGATTAAGGCTTGACAAGAGGGACATTTTCTTTAAAAGCTTCCACTGCTGGCTACCATCATATCAGTCACAGTACTGGAAACCCAGTACATAGCAGGCTCCCACAGTTGCAGCCGTTGGCAACGCAGCTCAAAACAGTATGCTTCTCTGCTGGGGAGATCAATGCTGCTACTGTCGGTGGGAATTTTTCTCAGAATTTCCCTCATCTAAATAGGATCATTCTGTGCTGTCACCAGATTCCTTTGTAGCTACAGTGTTAGAAGACAACTATCTTTTCCCCTGCCTGTTTTGATTACAAACAGCATGTGATGTCCTCCTGAGCAAACTGCTTACCCAAGTTTTTGAGTGGAAAGATGCTTTTATGTTTCACTGGAAAAGCTAGAGAAAACATAAACTGTAAATTCTGCTGTAGCAGACTGGCTTATCCTGGTAGCAATTGTCCTCCCCTTAGCAATTGAACTGCTAATGTTGGCAGAATAAGAAGTGTTTATAGCACCATTGGCAACAGTTTGGATGAGATTTGGTAAAAGCAAGCAAATCTAAAGTTGAGGACCCAGTGGAACTGGAGGGACAGTATGTCCTGTATGTCCTTACAGAACCTATTTGGGGTTCTCTGGTGCTACCACCAAATTTGGATGGATTTGATGGCTGATGTCTAGATTTCTGCTGTTAAAAAAGAGTAGCCAACAGCTGAGGAAATAAAAAAACCCAAACACATCAATCACATCACTTGGAGTCTTCTTGCACACAGAGATTTAAGATGATGGTCAAATCAAGAAAATGCATAAGGTATCTTTCCAGAAGCACTGGATTGTGAAGGGAGTGGGACTGGAAAATACGAAATCTAGAATTCCCTGTGTTTCTTAGTGAATTGTTTCTAGCAATCTCTTCCTAATTAGAAATACTGAGCTCATCAAAATGAAAGATCAAATAAGCCATTATTTTACTTCAGACTTGCATGCTGATTTCTGTAATTGTAGATGAGATGTCAGACCAGAGGTGGTACTTTACATGTGGGAAGAGTAGTTGCAGGTGGCGAAACTGAAGTAATTCAAATGTTCAGTCATTGAGTAGGTAAATTACCTCAATTCAGGCCTATTGCTACCCACTAATAATGCACATTTTTGTTCCCTTTTCACTTCATGTCTTTGGCTGGTTATCTTTTCTTTTAGTTAACTTGTTCATTATTCATTACGCGTAGACAGAAAAATGAAAATTACATTATCCTTGTATGACTGACTTCACCCTTTTCACAAAAGTAGCCTAATCAAACCTCTGCAGAAAATTAGTTGACACCATCATTTTATGGAAGACTTAAAACATTTTGAGACCTTCTGTTGGGTTCTCTCCACGCTGCCAGTTTTGCTTATGTAATTTATTTTGAGCTTTTAAGCCTGAGGTGCTAGAGGTATGTGGGCTTGGTTTATACTCAGGTCCTTACCTTAGAGTATGCTGTCTACAAAGGGCCGACCTTTCTGCTTAGTTTCAGAGCAGAACTTCGCGTCGTTGCATTGCTGTTACGGGTCACATTAAGAATCAAACAGCTTTAGGATTTAGAGGGAAAAAATTACAAGAACGGGGAGTTGGTAACTGATGCTGAGCATTGATGTGTACATTATTTATCACTGAAAGGATCTACAGTAAGTTTTAAACTCATGAAACACCTCTACCAAAGAGATGGCAACTCTTCAAGATGTGCAGGTACGTACAGGTTAGAATTGGTGGGGTCTTCAGAAGGTGGTTTCTCAGCCATACAAATAGTATCATGATTCATTAAAATGATTTCTTTTTATAGCAGAGCAGCTTGAGCTTGGTTCAGGAAAGAGTAAAGGTGGCTACAAAACTGTGCTCATAACTGGGTTCTTGAAAGCAGCATTTGTTGTGAAGCTGTTGGTGTCGTGTTATGTAGCTGGCTGTAGTATATAGCTGCCCTCTTGTGGAAAGGAAAAAAAAAAGGCTGAGTACTCTTGTACATATATTTTCATAATTTGTGTAGTATGTGTGCATAGTTCATGCACTAATTTATCACAGTACTAGTATCAGGGCAAATTCATAATCAGAATCTTCATTGCTGTAACTAAGAGCAGAAGCTAATCCTAAACTCCTGATTTCAATATTCTATACAAGGCAACTTTTTAAAAAGCAGCCCTTCCCTCAAACTTTTACACAGACACTATTCCTTTATTTAAATCCCGAAAGAGACACTTTATTAAGCTGTAAATTTATGTGCTGCATAAATCATTCATGAATTTTGTTCCCACCCCGATCTAAAATTCAACGTCATTTGCAGCCAGAGTTGCTTGCCCAGGAGCACCAGGAGGAGAAGGTCAGGTTTTTGTGGTGACTTCCCATAGGTCTTACAGAGAAACTAATCCAGGGTGATTTAGCTACAGCCAGGCTGCTGTTTCTTACATTTTCTTTATAAAACTAGTTAATTCACTTCATATCATTGAAGTGACTCCTGAATGACCCTTTGTCTAGTGACTGGTCTCGTGTCATTTCCTGTTATTCAATTTAGTCTCAAAGTGCCTGGCTAACCAAGGTGCTTCTCCACACAGATGCAAAGAGATTCCACTTCCTTTTCCTACAGTCTAGGGCTTCCTCTTCAGAAAAGAAAAATACAGGTTGCACATTTGTAAACTTGATTTGAGTCAGGCTGAGCAAGCAGACATCTGCTATTTCGTCTATACAGTAAGCTAGAAAAAATGCTTTGTAGGGAGGCTGTGTGGCCCGGTGGTTAATGCAGAAATGTGTCAGGCAGGATTTCTCAGTTCTATTACTGAAGGTCGATGAAATTTGATGGTTTCAGTGTGTTTCTATTTCTTGTCCTTTTGTTAATTTCCTCCTTGACTGAAAGTTCCTGTTTTCTGATGTAACCTGGGGCGAGTAAAATAACTTCTGTGTTTTATGGTCCTGCCATGAAAAGAACAGTGTATTAAACAGGAGAACACAGCCGTGAAATTAGTTAGGTAGTAAGATTCTGCACTGCGTACAGAGGCAGTAGGAGACAGTAGGTATTATTTCAGAGGCCAATGGGAAATTTGTCTGCAGAAAATTAGATGTAGGCTTTTTGAAATGTTTAACTGCTCTATCAGTATCATGTGGGAAAACCTCTGGGGAATCTGCTGGTTGAGTCTTTACAAAAAATTGCCATTTATACCTTCTAGCAAATTCTGAAAATGAAATTCAGATAACATTTTTAGGGGATTATTAAGGGAGATGCCAAATTAAAAAAATCATATTTTTTCATCAGAGAACTTGTAGCAATGTAATTTCCCAGAGCATGTAGTGGCTCTGCCATATAAAAATGAAGTCATCTTATATGCTTCTTGATACAATTCATAGCTGAGTCTCATTTTCTAAGCTAATATTAGAACTATTGTGTGCAGGTTTTTTTAACTAAGTAAGTATCGGTTATGTAGTCAAACCAAAGGTTGCTCCTGAAAACCTTCACTCACAGTAGAAGTGGGATTAATTATTTGGATAAAGGCTTCATTGTATGAATATTTGCAGTATTCTTTTCAAGGAAAAAACCTGTTGTTCTCAGTGTAGGATTTGTCCCTAAATGATAAGTAAAACAATTTATTGGTTTATAATAAACACATCTTTAGGTTACTAAATTCAAGCATTATGACTGCATAAATAACTGAAGAGAAGGACTTGTTTGCTGCAAACAAGAATTATCTTTGTGGCTTACAGCTGATCTAGCTAGATTTAGAGGATGCACACTATGACACCCCCTCTTGTTCCAGTGCACACAGAGCTGGAAATCCATTACAAATGTTAAGGATTTTTATTAGTTTTTTACTTTCTAAAATATCCTTATCTCAAATTAACATGGGATCATTTCAGGACAGTGATTTTTAGCCTTTTTTTTTTTTTACTTGCTAACTGCTACAAGATTTCTAAAGGATATGCAGACTAATAGATAAGCTTTTCTTAGTGATCCTGCAGCTAGGTTTCAGAGGTGTTTGGAGCATTGGCTGAAAAACATTTTTGTAGGGCAATGCCACTACCCTTTTTATTGTATGAAACAAGGGGTTAGTTTCCGAGTGCTGAAATGCTTGATACACAGGTTGGGTACAGCCTTCCATTCCTCTGTTTAAATGACTTCCAGATAAAAGAGCCTGCTGAGTGAAGATGCATATGGAATTATTGCTAAATACACTGAATATTGCAATCTTTGCCTAAGCATATGGGCAACAGTAATTTAGTTGCTTTGGGGACACTTGAACTTTCAGAAAGCTGTAGACTTTTCCTTACCATATGCAACCACCATCACTTGAGACAGATACCAGGATCCCCTCTAATAGAGAACTAATTGTTTTCTAATTGTGTCTTTTGTCTGTTTCAATTTCTAGACATCATTAACCACATCTCATTCCTGTGATACACTTGAGAATTGGTTTTATGATGAAACTTCACGAAGCTGCTGTTACCAGTGTCCCTCAGGTCAGTTTTTTTATATAATTCAGTCAAATTAACATGGAGCCTTTCTCATAGAGATCATAGGAACCATGTATACCTGCAGAGCTGTGTTGAAGACAAGTGCAATTTCATGACTCACTATGTAGTGTGAATCCAGATGTGCACTTGTTCTCCACTGACCTGCCTCTGTTCAGTCTGAATGGAAACAAGATAACTTGATAGAATTTTTTATGTGTTTTTTAACGATTGACTTGACCCTTTGAAGTAACTAGAAGTAGACAGGTCTAACAATTCATTTCAACTTGCCTCAGGGTGTGAAATAGTGCAGTGAAATTAGGCTAAATAAGTTTCTAATCAGAGACAAAAATTATAAAATGAAGGTGTGGAAATTCTGTCATTATCCTCATAGTTGAAACAGTCCAGAAAGAGTCTCACATGAGAAAGGGAACAGCCTCTTGTCAGGGGACACAGTGAGCTTTGCACAAAGTTAGTTGTGACTCAGAGGCACATGAGGTCAGAAGCAGGAAACACCTTGGTGAGACAAGACTTCTGGAAATGTCTGAAACTCTCCCTGTTGGCCAAAAAACCCCTTGGTGGGTGGGGCATTTTATGGTACTTCACCAGCATTGATCTCTTCTTATAGAAATGTTTTTCTTTTTTTTTCGTTGAAAGGAAATTTTTGACATTTATTTATGCTCTATTAATAAAAAGGGGTTTAGTGCTTGCTTGCTAGCATTTGCATGCAGTTAAATTGGGGTACCTGCTGGGACATCTTGTACTGCTGGTCATACCACTAGAATCATTCAGAAGTTGCATAAGTAAACAAGACCAAGGGATGGAGAAACTGATCCCATAAAAGAAGAAAAGGGGCAGGGATCTGACTCTGAGCCAGTCCCAAGAAAAGCTCTTTTCTCCTTCAAAACCATACTTTGCAAAAGCTCCCATAATGACAGATGTCATAGTGAGGTCTGGTAAAAAGCAGAGATCTGATTTACATTTGGCTGTAATGAGCCACAAGTCTCAGTCATTTCACCTCTGCTTATTCCTGAAACTCATTTTGTTGCCACATCCTCATGTTAGTCTTGGACATCTCTTCACGTCTTCCAGGGCCTCCTTCACAACAGAAACTTATAAGAATCCTTTTTCATTTTAATCTTCTGCTACTCCTTCAAGCAATAAATAACCTCTTCATATCTGCTAACTCAACTGCTCACTGCAAAGAAAGAGAAGCTTTTCTAAAATTCCACTTCATCAAAGTGGAGCATCTTGAAGTCTTGGTGCAGACTGGCTTTATTTTCCTCAGTGTTATAGCCCACAGATGTACAGCTTTCAGTCTGAACACACTGGCCCACACACATGCCATCCTCTCTTTTGAAGTTAATTTCCAGTTCAATTTCAAGATAAACTTAAAGCCAAATCGCAAAAGATCATTCTAATCAATTTCTACAGTTGCCACATCTCTTCTCATGTACTTAGTTCTTGTGCAGTAAAATGAGACTTCATACTTGGGATACCAGAAGAACATTTTCTTTCTGTCATCACAGAACAAAATATTTCCCTCCTGTCAAGGGGAGGAACAGAGACTTTCACAGGAAATAATAGTATATGCTAGAGCAGCTCATGTTATGCAGAAGTTCATATTCCACTTAATTTCTGTTTATTCTGTTTATTGTTTTTTACCTTTTTTGTTTGGGTGTTTTTTTGTTGCTTTGGTTTGGTTTAGACTCTAAATCGGATATTCAGCTCCACAAGATAGTGCTGCAGTCAATGCTCAAGATAATTTCCCACCCACAGTTAACAGCAAATCCTCAGGAGTGAATGAATGCACATACTCACAAAAGAAAAACACTTAAACCACTTATTTAATCTACTTACTTTCAGCACATTTTTCTGTACAGGTGATTGCAGCTGGTACTCCTACTGCTCAGGCTTTTATCTGCTTGTTGAGCTATGAGCACAATCAGTGGAGAACAGTCCCAGAAGAGTTAGGCAAGCTTCAAAGCTACTGCACCTGGGGCACACATCCCCCAGCAGAGGGACGCATGTATACAGGAAATCTCAACTGAAGTTAAGGCTTTTGGGTCATTGTGGGAGGCAGGGGAAAATGACACACATGTATGTGTGCGTACACACGTGTGCAGCTTGAGTGCTGAGATTCAGCAATCAGCCCTCACCTGTGAAAGAATAGTCTCAGATGAGTAGTTTTGAGGAAGTTGGGAGTGATGTGGTTCAGGCTTGTCTGGAGGTATTTTGTGGGCCAAATATAACACAGCTGTTTTTACCTGCACTCCTACATCATGCTTGCCAAAATGCACAGTAGGTGAGTTATTTCCCTGACAGATTCACCCTCCCTGTGGTTAACTCTTTGTGACTGGGTGATGCAGGCCGGATGCTTAAACTGGGATTAATTTCTCTCCTGTTTTCCACCTGTAAAACATTTAGCTCTTCCTATCTTTATGTTGCTGCTTTAGCTTTTTCTTTTGCTTCTGCAACTGCCGCTGTTCCTTACCCTCTGCTAGTTATTTCCACTTCCTGGCAAGGCCATGAGGTCACAGCTGACCACTGTGCCTTCTAATTTCTTTGGTGCTATGGCCTGTAGTAGAATACCTCATCTGTTGCTTCAGGACCTGAAATGTTAGGGATGCTTCTGTCCCAGCCTTTCCCATACTCCTAGCTGGTTATTGTACCTAGCTTGCCAGGTGGATGCTTTTAAAAGGTAGTCACTAGAAAATGATCATCAGACAAACACAGAGTCACGAAATAGCTTAAGTTTGGCAAAGACCCCCAGAGGTCGTCTAATTCAGCCAGCCAGCTGCTCAAATTTATGCATGCTGCATACAAACATGTGGTCTGTGAGATCCAATTTGTGCTTGCAAACTGTGAGCATTCCAGATTAGTTAGAAGCACTGAGCAGAGAAAGTGTCTTGCATATGCGTTCAGCATCAGAAAGACATACAGATGTAATTTGACTTGTTTAAAGGAAAACAGTTGGAAAGTTAAACCATTTCACAACTGTCAAGGCAACTGTAAATCTAGCAGGACTGCTCAGAAAGCAACCTACTGCAAACCTACTGGGGGTATGTAGGGCACAGCTCAAGGAGTACCATCTCATAACCTCCCATTGTGAACATGGGAGATGGGGTTGTCCCTGCATGAATCCATGTGCACCTAGGCAATTCTGGCGGCTTTTGAAAGGAAAAGTGATGCCTTACGTAGCAAAATATCAAAACTCAGTTGCTATAGTCAAGAAGAAAACATGAAAAACAATTGCCTGGGAACTTAGTAATGGCAGGACAATACTGCCCTCGCTGCAGACTTGGTGGTCTTTTCTAACCGGCAGCAAATGACTTGCTATGTGCCCGTTCTGCAGCAATCCATACTGACTGTGATAATACCACGTATGGTGTCACTGTGACAGGACAGCTGTGATCCCTTCACACTTCAATGGGAAAGGCAAAAATGTGCTAGAGAAACCAAATGACAGGTACAAAGAGAAGACTGGTAGTGTGTTTAACAGGTAAATGAGCATACAGAACACTTCAGGATGGTTGTCTCCTGTGATTCTGAACAGGTATGCTGCATATTTTGTTTTCGTTTCTCCAGGCTATGTTAAAAAGAAAAGATGTCCTAGGGACCCAGATGAAGACTGCATGAGATGTGGACCTGAACAATATGTGAATGAAGAACACCAAAAGCCACAATGTGACGCTTGTGTATCATGCGCAAAAGGTTTGCTTTCCCTCACGCATACCTCTCAGTTACATTCTCTCTTTACGCTTTATTTATATTTTATTCATTTAGAATTTCCAGCATCAAAATTATCCATCCTTGGTTACTGATTTAGAGAACAGAATGCTACCTTGCACATAATCAGTATCACTTCCTGTGTGACCTGGGACTACCATAAAGTTCTCTCATCCAGTGCTATCCAAGTCTGATTTCTGCTTTCTATCCTGTATTACAAGCCATTGTCTACAGGCTTTTCTGATTATTCATGACTTAAGTTGACATTGCGAAGAGTTCCAGCAGCCTGTTCTGTTTCCCGAGCCTTTGAACTGATGTTGCTCAGCTTTGGCCCCGCTTTGTGTTTTCCTTGCAGGGTGATCCTTTGTTACCACATCTGTTTCTTCCCCACAGAATCTGACCTTGTGGAGAAAGAGCCCTGCTCCTTCAATTCTAGCCGTGTGTGTGAGTGCCGTCCAGGCCTTTTCTGTCAAACCTCTGCTGTGAACACCTGCATGCGATGCCAGCGGCACACTGCTTGCAAGCCTGGTTTTGGAGTCAAAGTCAGAGGTAGGAATCCCCACCTGTCTAGCTTACCTTTCCTGACCTTGGCCATAGGCCTGGACCTGATGCATTTCGGTTGGTCAGTCCTCAGCCATTATTTTTATTCAGGCACCTCAACAGATGATGTTATTTGTGAAGAGTGCCCTTCTGGAACCTTCTCTGATCAAACCTCCAGCACTGACATCTGCAAGCCCCACACAAAGTAAGCCCACAGTTCTTTAAAGTTAATAAAGGATGAAAAGGGACACCTGTCACTTCTGATGCAAAGTATACAAATTTATCTTAGAGGCAATAGGGTAGCTTTGGACCTATGTGCAGAATTTAGAAGGCCCCTCTTTATACCTGTGGCACAACTCTGTCCTGGAGGAAGGAATGAAGGAATCCTTTTTGCCTCATTTTTAGTTTACTAAGTATAGTGGAATTATACATGTGTTTGAGTTATCAGATTTGCATCCAGGTCGAGAGATAATGCCACAGGGGTGAGAAGGTTAGTGACTTTTTCACTGAAAGCAATAAGCAGGTGGTACAAAAATGATCAAAGGGATGTTTGTCACATGGAAAATACTCTTCCCTTGTACCATGGCAGTTTCGTCTAGCGCTGATACGCTGTTCTCTTTCGTTCCCCAGCTGTGCCAAGTTAAACAAAGTGGCACTGCAAGATGGAAATGCCACACACGACCAGGTTTGCCTGGACCAATTGCCCACCTACCTCAACCCAAGCACTTTTTCCATGAGATTCAGCAATGAAACAAATAACTCTGACCTGAGGAGGTTTCAGGAGAACCCGGTGACCATTGCTAGTATCCTTTTAAGTGCCACAACAGCTGAAAACCCCAGTTCAACTCCTGAGGAGAAAGCTCTGACTGGCACTTTTCCCACCTCAGCCAAGGGGGAGATGACAACAGGAGGTAACAAAGATAAAGCATTTACTCTGTGTAGAATGTTTTATTTGGATATAACTTCAGTAAATGCAGTTTTTATGTGGGAGCTTCCTGCAAAAATCCCCTACAACTTGTGAAATGATGTCCGTGGATCTATGTCCAAACACATAGATCTACAGATAGTTCCCCCTCTGCCTTTTCTTGGCCTTTCCTGTACTCCCTTTCCGTTTCTGTGCTTTAGGTCTAGTTTTTTGGGGAGTGGTTCTCTCTGTGATAGTGCTACTTGTGGGCATGCTGTTATTTTGGAAATGGAAGGTTTGCAAGAAGCGGATCCTCATCCTCAAAGGAAAGCGTGAGTTTTTAAAACTGTAATACATAGCATGCTGTTTGTTCTCCAAGTCTATGCCAACAAGGAACAAAAATACCCTACAATTTTGTGGAGATCGTTGGGGAAGAGAATGTTGACTACTGCCTGGTGAAGGCAGAACAGATAAGGGTTCTGCATAATGATGCAGCATGTTGGAGAAGATGAAAGACTGAAGCAGCTGAGAACTTAGGAAGATACTACAAACTGGGTGGGAAAAGGGTAACCAGTGGTTTCTTTTCTCAGCACAGACATTATTAAATGACACCTCAAGTGTTTTGTATTTGTTGGTTCTGGGAATGGTGTCAGACTTCGAGCATGAGAGGAAAAATGATTTTTACTGATACTGACTCCCTGTAGCTTTGCCTAGAGTTACACGTGAGGTGTACCTGTGGAACCACATTCCATCTTTTATAGAAAGCAGGATGTGCATGTTGTAGGTTGGTTGTAGACATCTGAGCATGGTAGAGCTGTTAGAGCCTGTATGCTCCATGATGACTTTTGCTAAATTAATGGTTTCTTTTATCAGCACATCTGCATTCTGTCACTTCACACAAATCCGGGCTCAAATCTCAAGGTGAGTGACTAACGTACCAGGAATTGTAATCCACATGTCTAAAGAAGTAGTGGATAGTTTTAATATGGAACTTTATTTTATGGAATTTTAATTTAAAAAGTGGAACTTTTTCATAGCAAATGTATGTCTCTGCTGAGATGCAGAAGTCCAGTGCTGTCTGTCCTGTGCAGGCAGGTGACATCTTGGATGTGAAGCCACTAGATGGCATGTTCTTCCCATGGCACCTGAATGCTTGGGCGATGTGTCAGTGCAGGGAGGCTTTGCTGGAAAAACGCCCAATTCATTTCTGGGCACTCAGCTTTGGGAGACATTTTCCAAAAAAAGTGGGTGCTAGCCATAGCAGCCCGTACAGATCCCCTAGAGTACACACATTTTGCCCAATTAACTAATCCACTCTCAGCACCTCTATTTCCACTGACTGATCTATTCTCTTCTGTTGTGTTAGATTCTCCTAATCACCACACGTTGGAACTTTTTATACTCATTTATTTGGGAATACAATTTATAACCACTTGTGTGCAGCTTAGTTTTCTCAAAATGGAATTTTTGCTTTCTCACTTGACTTACAAAATAGAAACTGTTACTGTGCAGCATTGCAGAGCTGATGCATTGAAAATAAAAGTGGCTGCATGTCAGGGTGAAATTCAATAGCAGGCTTGAGCCCATCTAGCTTCATGGTACCTACAGAAGGATCCTGTACACTCCCTTCTTCTCACCTCTCTTCTTTCCCCAGTGTTCCCTTCCTCCATCCTTTCATAAAATCCCATCCCCTTAATATTCATCTGACCACACAATGAATTGATCCAACCGGTTAATCCAGTACACTGTTATTAATTTTTTTTTTAATAAGCTTGTCTCCTGCTTATCTAGAAAGTTTAATCAGTTCATCATTTCATTAGATGAATATCAGTTGTGGTGTGGGGAGAATGATAAGGATGGCCACAAAGGGCTTTGGGGAGAGCAGGACCTCACAGTCTTGGCAGCAACATGTTGCTGATTCACCTCAGCCACGTCATGTATGTGTGCCCTCAGTGGTAAAGAAAGCATAATGAAGGTGGGTTGGGCAGGAGAGTAGTTTAGGACACGGCTAGGTGATCTTTCAGAGTAAATATTAACAATCTTGTAATTGCTATGAATTTTCTTCTGACAATTTTTACTCTTTCCATTGCAGGTGCTGATCTAGTGAACAAATGTGCAGTAAGTGTGAACAATATTCCAAAACCGATCACTTCCAATGTAAATAATGGTATTTTAAAATGTCCTGTTAAAGAATGATAGTCTTTTTGTTTGGGCTTGCCTCTACAACATGTGATCCTCTAGGTGTAGCAATGACATGTGCTACAACTTGCTGCTTTCATGTCTTGGGCTATGTTTAATGTGATGTTAAATACTGTGATGCTGCCAATCTTGCTTGTGAAGAGGGTATTTCATTTGGTCTTATGCCGTTCATGTTGCATTCTATGGGACAAGACCTAAAACCACAGGATGAACATGCCTTTTCTACCTTTTGGGAGAACTCTGTCTGTCAGTCCCATTTTATCTTACTGCTCCACTCACACAAGTGGGACCGTACTCACCCATCTCCCTTCACGTCACCTTCCCTCTTTGTAGGATTTGGCATGCCTGCAATATGGGTATACAGTGGGTATTGTTTGTCTGGAAGACTTTCCATCAAGACAAGCTTCTGGTTTAACAGTATAGTTTGCAGATTAACAAGTCAAACATCAGTCAGTATGGTAATAACAGAAAGCAGTTTCTCAGCTGCTCTGTTTTATTCCCCCACTTTCAGTGAAATTACAGCAACTTTCATCGTCTGAGTCTTCACAGTTTGCTTGTTAACTTTAGATGTCAGTATCCGCTAAAACACTCTTTAGACTTTTTTTTTAAATCAGCTTGCTTTTAAATGTTGTACATCTGCACACATACAAGATACTACTTATTTTAACAAATCTGCTTGCAATCAGCTATCGTAATTTCAGTGTGTCATTGCTCATTCCTGAATTGGGGGGAGCTTCCACTCTTGCTTTCATAGTGAGTCAAACACGAGTGATAGTTTTAAATTCCACATTTCAAAATCTTTCTGTGTTGTTTTTTTTTTTTTTTTTTTTCCCAACTATGTGGAAACAGAGCTAGGAATCATCAGAAATTTGTGATGCAGGACCTTTAGCCTCTCTCAGTTTCTGGCTCCTCTTTTAAAGGACTGTTTACAATTAATTCTTCACATAATACCTAGTCTGAGCTTGTTTCTCCTATCTGAGGTTCTGATGAGGCAATTCCATTCTGAAGTTCAACCAGTTCAACCTCTGGCTTGTTTTGTTCTTCCATATGACTGTGGTAGGTCTTTGCAAACTCTAAAAGGAAGTTAAACCGTATATTTTCAGTTTTGACTGTTTGAATATCTCACTATATGACTACCCATCTGTACAGGTTTGTCCTCTGATACTTATCTCACACCTAAATATGGAAAATATCTTGTTAAAGTTCTTTCTGAGCAAATCCCTTGATATTCTTACCTCCAGCATCTATTTTTCTTACTGGTGTTAAACCTTTTTCTGAACGGTGCTACTGAGCTTCAGCCCCTCAGAATGCAGCTGCTACTCTATTACAGGATAGCAGACCCTGAAACAGAGCATACAGTATAAGACTTGTGGCAAAAAGTCAAAATGACAGATAGGTGGATGTTCATCGGCATCTAAATTGTGGACAAGGCAGTGGAATTTACCAAAGCATCCAAGCAGGTCCAGGAAACTGGATTTCAATGGAAGTGAGGTACATTCCTGCAAATGTCATCACAAATCTGTGAATTTAGCTTAGAAATGCTGTTTTTAAATATGGCCTTAAGTGATGCAGGAACCTAGTTCAAAGAATCTTAAATTCCTGTATCAATTAGGCACTTTGGAGTTTTTTAATTCCTGTAACAGGGGTGCTATGAAGTACATTATATTATTCTAACTGCCACAGAAGGATTCTGTAGACCTATTGCAATCTTTACAGTGTTGTTTTTACATTCACCCCACTTCTACTTTCCTCTTTGTATTGGCAGAAGATCATACTGAGTACTGAGAGTGGGCCAGAAGAGAAGGAGTTAATTGACAGAACCCTTCCTTTGGAAACCAACAATAACTTGGTCTCCAGTACAGAAAAAGCATATAGTCCTGATCTGAGTCTGACTGATGTGACACAGAGCAATGGAAATGCCCCAGATTGCCCTATTGATTCTCGAGTGAGAGACCACACAAATAATCGAATTGGTGAGTCTTGCTTTATTTTTTTTTTTTTTCCCCTCTTGCCTCTTCAATTTTTCAACTGTGGGCATATAATGTCATTCCAAGATTATTAGTAAACTGCAAAGTGTCCAAAGCTTCTAACAAAGGTTGGGGCTGAATTGCTAGAACTTGAGACACACAAATTCTGGTATATCTATCCAAAGAAATATAATGCTTTCTTATTTTCACATTTGCCTTAGTCACTTATGAACGTGACAGAAAAATGCTCTTCTTCCTCTTTTTCATTCCAGAAGATGTAAATTTGCAGAAGAAATGTGAAATCCAAAATATGTCAGCTGGAAAATGATGCTGTAATACTTAATGAGAGTTCTTCACATGTCTGAAGCTCATTTTCTTTTCTTGGTTTCACAGTAATAGCTTGAAATGTTTCTCCCATATATTCCCATAGTCTTTGACCACAGAACAGGGTAGAAGATAAAGTCAGGCAAGGAAGCTTATTCACAGGGGGAGAATTGTTACCTGAAACATTCTGCGTGAGACATTCTGGCAATGTTTCCAAACCCAATTTTGAGGTTATTTGAAGGGGGTTTTTTGGTATTACTAGAGCGGACCTTTCCTTACTAAATGCCCTTCTGGTTTTCCTGTGAGTGATGGACTTGGGATGAATGTGATGATTTGACTTACCATACCCAACTACCTCCAAGCAATTGTGAACAATAGCCTACAGTGTCTGATCTGCAGCATCCTTCTGAATAAAATGTAGTGGTCCAAGCCATAGTAAAGGCCTAATTTACCTTTTGTAAAGGTCAACAAGTTGCACACAAGGTTCAAGTCCATCCCAGAAAATTTTGAAGTTGATTCTCTGCTGGAAAGAAACTAATCTCTTTGCTGGTCCTAAGACCCAGGATTACTCTATAGTGCTGATCCTTGCCCAAAGGCTGCTTTTAATGCAGGTATTATCACTTCTCAAAACAGCAGGAGCATAAACCAAACCTTGGATTCTCCATATCTATCTTCCCTAGATTCCAATTAGTTGCTTTTTCTAACAGACTCTTGTGAATGTTTTACTGCCTTTTCTAATTTGTCTTTCTCTTGTAGTCCTAGCTACAGTGCAGTGGCTTCATCGCATGGGAGCTAGGTCTACTTGATCTAAAATGCCCAGAGTCCCACTGACAGCAGTCCAAAACCAGACAGTATAGTATAAAATGTGCAGGCCTTCTTTATCACTTGGTATGTTCAGTGCTTTGTTTTCAAAATTAAAAGCACTGTATAAATAACCAATGAAATAGACAACTTAAAATGTGTGAATTCCAAAAGCTTTAGTGGGGTAGTGAATTCTGTGTTTTCACAGTGATGGGCTTGATCTGCAGGCCTCTGATTGCAAAAAAAAACAGGGGGGGGAAAAAAAAAAAAAAAGGAAAACTGAATACCAAATACAAATTTTGCATGAAAAAGAATCCTCTCCAGGGTCAGCAGTGATTGTTAACTATGCTCAGGACTATTTTTTTCCTTCCTCAGAAAAAATATACATCATGAAAGCTGACACTGTTATTGTGGGGTCCATTTCAGAAGTACCTAGCAGCAAGAACTGTGCTGCTAGAGGATGTGAAAGTAATGTTGATGCCCAGGAAAACATGGAAGAGGAACTGGCAATGCACTATCCAGAGCAGGAAACAGAGTCTTTTCCAGAGAATGATGTAATGGTTCCTGTGGAAGAGGAGGGAAAGGAATTTCATCACCCCACCACCGCCACTGAAAAGTGATAACCCACTGGGAAGATGTGTGGAGCTACAGAAACATCCAGTGTGACATGAAGCCTGAATATATAACAGGGGAGATAAGCACATAACACCTTGTATTTGAAAACACATGTAAAACACTGAAACACATTCAAACAAGAAGTACTAGAACCTATTTCATCTAGCAAATGAGAGGATCATCCAAACTGTTGGCCTTCATAGCTGATGTCAAATATTTCTCTTTCCCTCTCTCTTCCAGTATCATGCTGGAAAAAATTTGAATCAAAGCTATAAAATTCAGAGGATGTCTGGGTGCCAACTGAAATTTCACATCTTGCTTTCTCTGCATGAAGGAATGGATTAAAAACTACATCTGCCTATTAGCTATGAAAATTCTGGCCAGAATTACAAGTCAAGCTTGAGACTCAGCCATGTTTCATATGTCGTTTCTATTCCAGTATTACCAATATTTCCAATTTTGTCATATTTTGCAACATCTGGTATTTTTCTTAAGGCCTCAACTCTTGGCTGAAAGTAATGACAATTTCAGTTTTCCCTAACACAGACAGAACTCTTAAGTTTGTGGACTTTGTGTTTCTTGAGGAAATAGAATCAAAAGATGACAGGCAGGCTCGGAAAACAGAAGGCAAATAAAACTAATTGAAGTCCACTCTACTTTAGACAGGTCTTTATAAGTTTTGAAGTCTGATTCATGTGTTTTTGACTGTTTCAAATCATCGATAAGTCTACAAAATGGCCTATTCTGATGGAAGCCAAACTGGCTCAACAGTTGGAGATTGGATGAACTATGGGTTAAGCCCAGCATGGAGTCTGTAAAAGGGGAAAAGAAGAAAAACTAGTTTTCTACAAAAATGAAGAAGTAAAAAATAAGCACATCAGTTATTTCCTATAACACTGTTAATATCTGCTTGTTTTAGAATTGCTCATAATCATCAGAGTGACACTGATTTGCATATCCTTTAAAAAAAGTCTGTTTTGTGGTCAACCGGCTTGCGTTACACTGTTTCTCAATCTTTTACGCTGCTTGTTTGATAACTGTAAATGTAATAATGCTGACTATAATTTTGCACAGGACAATGGAAAATGAGCAAGATGACAAAGTGTGCCTTAATAATCAAAAAAGGAACCACAAAAACAATTACTTGCTTTGTAGTTTTACCCTGGACCGAGTACTGTAATAACAGCTGTGCAACTTCAGCGTCTTTTGCCTCAGCACACACAAAAGGAACATAAGGGCATAAAAACCACCTTCTTGGGCCAGACTAGTAGTGCAAGCCCAACATTTTATCTCTGACAGTCGCAGTCAGAGATGTTACTTAGGAAGAGCACATAACCTTGGTTAATATCTGCTGTTTGCATTCCTCATAGTTCTGCAGCATCAGCTATAATTGGATTAAGGATGTTGAAGAGTTTGTCCTAGCCTTTAGCATTCATTCATATTGCCATTAATTCTCTCCTCTCTTTTGAATTTCTTGGTACAATCTGCCTCTATAAATACTGTGGCAACAGATTACAGATAGTTACCATTCACAGTGTAAAGAAGTACTTTTACTGCTTTTAAAACTGACCTCTTATTTCTGTGCCACTAGTTCTTGTATTACAGAATTTAGTGCAATACTGAGTTGCTTTTATGATTCTTGACTGTATCCTCCTCAGCCTCCAAGCTGCGTTCCCATCTTTTTATATTTCTCATGTACGTTAGATGCTCCACTGCCTTGGTCCTTTTAAGTGACTTCTTCCGTATCTTTTCTAACTTCACTACATTCTTCTGGACATCTGGAGGCCAGAACCACGCACTGCACTGAAGAAGACGGGTGGGCCAAGGTTTTGAGTAGTGACAAAATGGTGTTTTCTATTTTATTCTCAATACCTCACTAGATGATGCCCACCATTTAGTCTGCTTTTTTGGCTGCCCCTGCACACTAAGCAGATGATTTCAGAGAACCATCAGGCATGACTCCAAGATCACTTTTCTGGGTGATAGCTGCTAGATGTGAATTCAGCACCATGTATGCCTGGTCCAGATTATTTTTTCCCTAAATGTATTGCCTTCTGTTTATCTATGTCGAAGCTTATTTGCCACCTTTTTATGAGCTCCTTCTAGCTTTATTTGCCTTCTTTATGTCATGTAACTATCTGGTGAAGTTTAATATTGCCCTTACTGTGTGGGCACTCTTTTCTCCAGATCATTGATGAAGATATAGAACAGGCCCCACCAATCCTCCCTGCTAACTGTTTTCTATCCTGAAAAATTACCATTACACTATGCTCTTTCCTTCCTGCATTTTAAACAGCCATTACTTTTCTATCCTGTAACCTTTTAGCAAATCTATAAAATGACATTTTCTCAAACTTTGTTTTTCCACTGCCTTTGGTGTGGAAACATTCTGAAAATCTCCATTTAGTAGTTCCACTGGATCTTGTTTATCCATTAAGCCTCACAATATAAGGGAAGGAATGTTATCAAGATTTTGTGACTAAAGAAATAAATCCAGAGAAATTCATACATTTCTGGAACCATGGCCCCAGAGATGAAGTGGGAGAATCTCAGCATTATGGCATCTAGTCACTGACTTTCATCAATGGACAATCTACCAGTAGTACATTTGAAAACTGGTTGCAATTTCAAGTGTTGCTAGTTTCAGCATTTGTTTCTTGAATTCCACTCTTCTCTGCAAGTCCAGAACATAAAATAGTTTCTAAAAACAACTGCTGCCACTGTATATTTTAGTTCATCTACTGAGTCTTGCAAGAGAGGTGATTAGTGAACCCTTTCTGTGTTTTTCTGTGTTTGTACTTGTTTTGTTTCATTCAGAAGATAAGCTGCTCCTAGCGCTCAGATCAAAATTTCTTTTGGCTATCAGCATTGCTGTGTCAGTGGCAGTTACATGAGGTGAAGAAAGCAGAATAAACTTTTTTTTTGTTTGTTTAAGTGTTTGTTGTGCAACAGAAGGTCAAGTCACCAAGTACTGACATAAAACAGCAAGGCAAGGAAGGAAAAATACCTGTGTAGGGCATACTGGTCACCCTTTCCTTGCTTCCAGTCAGGATAGTTCATTGTTTTCCAGTGCATACACTTCATTCTACAAAAATTCAGGAACTTCTACTTCACTTTGGAGAGCACCAATTTGTGTATCCACAAACTGTGAGTAACCACGTTCACCTGGCTGCAATTGTTAAAGGATATTCTGTAATGACAGCTAATTGTATATTTCAGCTCTGTATATAAATTAATCTTTTTTACTGGAACAGCTTTCTAGATGAATCCTATGCATTGCAACCTGCTAGATGTATTATAGTTGGTTAGTTTATTAATGCTGGTAATCTTTGAATTAAAGATTGCATGAGTTTTAGCCACACTTTTCTTGTCTGATATGTAAATGTTTCATTGTTAGTAATTTAAGTGCATGTATCAGTTGCAGAAAAAATATTTTTGCAAGAGAGCTATTTGAAACTTATGATACTATTAGCCAACTGGAGTTTTTTCTCAAGAGCAGAGCAGGCCTGAATTTACATTAAGGTCTTTCTATACCATCCTGGCAGTGTGTATGAAACACGAGCGAACATGGTGCAGCGATACGGTTGGTTTTGATGAACGATAGAATGCTCCAAAAGGTTAAGTTCATGTTTTCAATCAAGCATCAGTCATAGACTGGTTTGGGTTGGAAGGGACCTTCGAGATCACCCAGTCCCACCCCTCTGCCCCGGGCAGGGCCCCCTTCCCCCAGCCCAGGGGGCTCCCAGCCCCGTCCAACCTGGCCTTGAACCCTTCCAGGGAGGGGGCAGCCACAGCTGCTCTGGGCACCCTGGGCCTCACCCCCCCGCACGGTAACGGGCTAACAGAGCATACGCAGAACTACCGCGACCCTTCGCGCATGCCGAGTCTCTCCTGAGACCCTGAAGTAACTTTGATGTCCGGCCAGGAGGAAACAGCGGGGGCTGAGGGGGGGACTCGATGCTCCGGCTGACACGGGCTGCAGCTCCGCGCTCGGGGCGGTGGGGCCGGGGCCGGGGCCGGGGTTGGGGCCGGGCCAGCCCCGCCCCGCGGTGCCTCAGTCGGCGGCGGGATGGGGCCGCGCTGGGCGCTCCTCGCCGCGCTCCTCCACGCCGCGGGCGGGCGGGTGAGTGAGGGAGTGCGGGGAGCCCCGCGGGGCCGGGCCGGGATCGGGCGGCCTGCCCGGCTGCCGGGGCTGCAGGGCGGGAGGGCAGCGGGGGCCGGCCGCGGCCCCCTCGCAAGCCGGCATCGCTTGGGGCGTTGCGCTCGCCGTCCCCGGAGCCGTCAGTCCGTCTCTGCCTACGCGGAACGCGGTGGGATCTCTGCAGCAGCCTTGGGTCGCGCTCCTAGACTTCCTTAAAACCCATCCTGCTCCCTTCGGCTGTGGCGTTGCTATTTCATGGCTTCCCAAAGCGATCATTAATCGTTTTGTTGTTTTTTTTTCCTGGCTTTTCACTGGAAACGGGTTGATTTTTCAGGCTTGCTTGAATATTGCCAAAAACTGGCAAGTGCAGAGTAAATCTGTATGTGTTTTACAGCGTTGTTTAAACAGGAAGAGCTTGTTAGGCTCTGTTGGATCCCTAAAACTAGTCCTTAGACAGAGGAGCCCTTTAATTTACATCTAAGACCTGATGTGATGCAGCTGTGACTACTCTGATCCAGCTGTACCACTATCTTGCAATTAATGCTTTTAACTGTTTAAACTCAAGAGCTTGATGGGATCTATTTGACTTTGATTGTATGTATGCTATAGTGGTATATTGATAACATTTTTCTGTCTGATTTTGAAGTATCCCAGATTGTGAAGATAAATGCAGAAACGCGGCTGAGATGTTCAGGTCATTACTTTTTCATGAGATGTGTATGTTATTTACATGTTTGTTTAATTATATCAACTTAGCCTTGATAAGACAAAGGTTCAGTGAAAACAGCTGAAGATGTCAGAATGCATATTGAGGCTGGAATTAAATAGCGGTCTTTTAAGGAGTGCTGTGTGCTATAGTGGGTTGATAATACATTAATTATTTTAACTGCTTCTCACTCATTTTTAATTCAGCCCTGGTTTGTAAGGCGATAGTATTTTGAACCTGATTTACTGAACACCTTGGAGTTGATAGAGTAGAGCAGATAAAGAAGGGAGAATCTCGGAATTGTAGCAGACCTTATCACCAAAATTTAAGTGTAAAGTTTTGTCATGCTTCTTGTTGAACAAAGGGCTTTGACTTGAAAGTAATTAACACTCCTGTCACCCTAAAGATAATGAGAGAAATCAAGAAAGAAACTTTCAGCATCATTTTTTGTATTGTGACAAACCAAAGAAAAATCCATATATACATTAGAAAAACAAAACCAGTAGTGTCAGAAATACCACATCTGCCACAGAGGTGGAAAAAGTCTGCCTGTTATGGCAATTTTAAAAAGTGATCAGGTAAAGAAAACTTTATTTTTGAGGGAGAGAAACTGGCAAAGCAATAGTTTTTGAGTGACACTATTTCTTGTTCTCATTCAGTTGATATTAGACTCAGCTTCTAGCCTCAGTCCCTGTGTTACTCACAGAAACTGAACATAATTTTTGCCATTTTGAACAACTCAGTCACCAGGTATTTTTGATAGAAATTTTCTCAGTAGCCTCAAGCCTAAATACCTGTCCTTTGCAAAGCAGCGCAGTATGCTCCGCAGTGTAGTTGCTGGTGTGTGTAGCAAAGGTCATCCTCTGGATGCTGCTGGTGCATGGAAGGTGTGTTGATAACCACACACATATTCTGAACTGCAAAAGGATAAGCATAAAGGAGATCTTGCTGAAAAATCCTGAAATAAAACTGATCAGACCTCTCAGATGTCCCTGCTTTTTTATGGTCAGAGCTTGGAGGGCTGTGGGTGACCTGCAGCTTTGCCGTTGTACATATCCACACTTGTGGTTGTTGCATCAAAGTTCATGATGACTGAAGGTCTTGATAGAGCATTGCAAAAGCCGTCTGTGATACAAGCAGGACCTTCCCAAGAAAATAATTTATTAAAAAAGAAAAATGCCAATTCTGGCATTTGGCCTAGGTAGAGGACTGTTATCCTCTCTGGCAGTGTTTTCGGCTGCTACACCTGGAGCGTCTTGGGAAGGTTCTTCATCTGCCATCTTTACACTTAGGGCTCTCATAGCTTCTCCTTTCCTCCTCTGCTCTCAGTGTTAGGTATCACCCCGTCTCCCTTAGGTTTGACCTTAGGTGGAGACATCCCAGAAGATGCACCTAATGTGGCCAATCCTGACTTGCTGATCCTTTCTTGGGAACATACTCATCATCTGCCCTTCTCTGACAATTGATAAGGATACAACCTGTCTTCCTGCCTCTCAGACTTGCCATCTGTCATCCCTGTTGCTTTCACCCCTTGCTTGCCTGAGCATCTTTGCTTTCCACAGGGAAACTGCAGATTTTAAGGCTCATCGGCTTTGGCAGTGCCTGTTACTGTAAGTGTCAAATCTTGATTTAGTGGTTAATATTTTTTATTAGGGCAACCTTTGGGAAAACAGACCAACTTGTGGATACATAAACCTGAAGTTTTGAAGCAGAAGAGCTGGTATTCCTGAAAATGTGTGGTTTTCTATGTCTTTCTACAAACTTTGACTGGTTTCTATAATTTTTGCATGTTGTGAATAGCTTCTGTATTTTATGCAGCTTCTTGCCATCTCATTCTGGGAAACTTTTCATATTATGGTGGAGAGTGGCAATGAAGTAGGGTCCCTAACAGTAAGCAAAAAGATACTGTTTTCTCAGAGAGGAGAAATATGGAGTTGTAAATCTGTTTGTGGCTATGCATGGACTCTTGCTTTACAGAAGTAAAGTACAATATAGGATGAAAGAACAATTCACATAGTGAACCCATAATCTTAGAGAGATATTTTCCAGAAATCAGCTTTAAAAGAAGCTTTGTGGTTTAAGTAGAGTCGGTAAAGCCTGATACAACTCCAGCTGATTTTGGTGAGGCTTGCTGTTATCTAATAACTAATCTTCCCTAGAATTATTTTTGTAAATGACCAGTTGAAAGATTTTAAACAGAATTCTGTTTTCTCCTGTCATCAGCAGGTTTGGTAGCTCAGCAAACAGTCTTTCTTTACCTCATGTCCTTCCCATAGCAACAGATTTTTAGATCAGACTCCTCGGTGACTTCATTGTGGTTTCATATGCGTAAAGAACGTTATATGCCAGATGTAGTTCCTGTTCAGACTCCTTTGTTTGACAGCTTTAGTTTGAAGCAGGCAACTGTGTGAAAAGGAGACCAATAAAAATGTAGTCATGTGAGATAGGATTAAAATATATTCTTAAATATTTTTGTTTAAATGGCCTCCTTGAGTGAAAAGGAATGATATATTAATGGATTAATATATATATTCACCTATTATATTAACTTGTTTTATTTCTATTATTGAAGATACGTAAATTTAATTACATGTAAAGTCCAAGAATACAGGAACAAGCTGTAAAACAGGAATTAAAGGAAATTCTGTTCATTATAATTAAAATTCAGCACATAGGGAATGCATTACATTATGATGTGCTATGAATAATTGAGACCTGGACTTCCTCGCCAATAGGTAGAGCCAGGTTGGTGCCCTGGATCAGGCCCTTCTAATCTGGAGGAAGGCTGAATCCAAATCTTGTTTTGTAGCTCATGACTAGGGCTCAGCCCTGGTGCAGGCATCAGGGTCTTGGTTGTGGTTGGTGTCTGTACAGCTAGGGGCGAGGGGACAGCCCGCAAGCCCCTTCCCCTCGCTCGTCCTGCTCCACGCAGCACAGAGGCAGCTGCAGGCCTGAAAATCATGAGCTACTGGCATGTTCTCTACTAGTTTTATCTTCCAGTGGGTAGGATGTAGAGAATCTTGGAAACAGTTGTTGGTGTACATACATATATAGAAGAGTCTGTACCAACCTCTCTGTTGGTGTGGAGACTGCTGTTAGCCACTCCTCTCCAGTGGCAAATATAATCACGTATCTGCTGGATGTCTATAGTGCAGATGGGAAAATGATTCAAACAACGCAGGGACTCTGGAGAGAGAGTCTTGAGTCATTACTTTTTGCATGTAACTTCTTAGTTATTGCTTAATACACAGGCATTGCAAAAATCTCCCTAGTGAGTTGTTTAGTCAAAGACAAGCATAGTTTACTTGTTTCTTTGCTAAATATATTGCTTGATTTGATTGATATGCATAGAGATAGACTAAATTTCATGATTAATAATGTTTCTGCCTCTGCTGCTAGATAGATGAGGCATTTTACTTCTACTTAAATTAAGTCCTCCAAAGTCTTTTTTTTGTCTGTACATATATCTTAAAAGTCTGCTGCCATTAGACACTACTACCTAATCTGAGAATTTCTAAGGCTCTGATGCAAAAGATGCAGCATCAGGTTAGTTTTCCTTCACACAACCTGCTTACAGAATGTTGAATCACAGTAAAAGCAGAAGACAAAATAAGGACTTACAAGAGATGCAAATAGCAACAAAATGCAAAGGCTGTGGAATAGAATCTGGCCTCTACTCATCAGTCTGTCAGCTCAAAGTAGCCAATGGATCTGGGTGCCAGATACAAATGTTGTACTGCCCAACTCAGACCTTAAAATTGGTGAGATGGCTAGAAAAAGTGGGGTCTTGTAGTCAAGAAATCCAGGAGAGTTTTATACTGAGTAAGGGGCTACACTTCCTCTGACAGAGTAGGAGACTTGACTGCTGGCCTTAACAACTTTGATTAAACTAGTTTACATTGGAAATAACCACTAAAATTAATGGCATCCTTCCAGTGCAAACACAGCTGAGGTCATGTGTTTTATAGACATTGTACCTAAGTGAGTTACAAGTCCTTTTTAGTTTCCTATAATGTTCTTTGAGGACAGTTGGCAAGAAATTGTCAATTATGTGTCATTGAGAGCCACAGCTCATCAGATAAAATTTCAGGGAGATTGTATCAGACAGTAGAGATCCTTTCAAGTACAACTCAAGAGAAGTAGATGTGAACCCGTCAACCAACAGGTTTTCCTGTGTCTTACAACAGACAATGCAGAGTATGAGATAAGAACAGTTTTTGCCAGGAAGCCTCACCAGAAGGATAATTTATGATGCAGTTTATTTTATTTCTTCCTTTTTTTTTTTGTTTCTTTTTCCTGTGTTTGCTCTTGCAGTGAAGTTTCATGTTTCAAAAAGACTCTCAAGTGTTTGTTTTAATGAAGTTGATCATCATGACTACAAAAATGTGACAACACTCAATCCTTCTTCTTTTAGTAAACAAGAAAGTAACTTAAATGAAAACTACTTTTGATGAGAGCGGAGACCTTTCCTTCTCCTTCATCACATTTTAGTGTCAGCTCACATGGCATGCTTTATTGTTGCCCATCCTTTAAGGGTATAATACCAAGTCCAGCATTAACAGTTGTTACTGAACATAGAAGGTATTGAAAAGCCTTGTTTTTCTTTTCAAATTATTGTGCTTATTATTCACATTAATGATGATGAAACTGATAGTGTTGAAGACAGCCTCCTGGTTTTGCTTCAAAGTCTTCAATCCTTGTGCAAGCCCCCTTTAAATAAGCCTTCTACATGGAAAGCAAAAATGGAGGCCAAAGTAGATTTTTGAGATATTTGGGGCTGCAGCATGGGTCCTGCAAAACTGGCTTTCTTCACATCAAAAGAGAAAGAGCAGAATTTGAAAAATGCAGCTTGTGCTCAGCAGCTGTTTCTTTCTTTACCTGCTCTAGTGTTTAAGAAGGAGAATGATTTTTTTTGGGGGGGGTGTCATCTTTCCCCACCCCGTCACCATTTCTGGCCTGTTAACACATATTTACAAGTTTCTTCTTTAGTTTGCAGCTTGACTTTTCTTCTTGATCTTGCTATGAGAGAATGGGGCTGATAGTGGTGAAACCCATCCCCAGTCTCCCTGGTTTTGAGTCTTTAACTCAACTGACTGATCAGAAGAGATCAGAATTGTGCCGATGTCTGGTCAGTGTTACTAGCTTTTATAGTTTTAAATAGGAGCAGTGAAACTTCTACTTAAATTGTTTGCTTTCATTTTTTCTTTTCTGGAATGAATACTGAAACTCAAGAAGGCCTTTCTCTGCCTTCATGTTAGCAGGAAAGGTTCTTTTTGACAATGGCCATTAAGTAGATGGCTGATATCCTGTTTCTGATATACGGCTATATAAGAGGTAAAACATTTCAACAAGCTGCATACGAAAATGCTGGGTTCCCTTTAGGCAATTGTTGAGGGTGGGAAGTGTTAGTCGTAAGACACAATAGATAATAAACATGTTTTTTCAGTAAGGAGGAAGGATATTTTCATTACCAGCCTTCAAAGAGCTTGTTCCTGTTTTGATTTCTCTTTTTAATAATACTTTTAAATTACTTCTCTAAATGGGTGTAGATTATACACGGGGCAATCTCTTCAGACTGCAGAAAACTGAGCAGTGTCACATAACTTTTCGAACAGCATCTTTCTGATGTAGCAGGAAACTCCTACGCTTGCACTACCTAACATTAGCCTTTTTCTTTTAAGTGAGTATATTTTTCCCTTTGAAAACAGATGGCAGGTCCTCAGATATTTTGACACTTGTTCATTGAAGTCATTGAGCTGTGCTGATTGGTGTGAGCTGAAAATTAGGTACACTGTATTTCAGGACTGTTTCTTATGCATTTGAGCTGCCATATGAGGTAGGTTTTTAATTTTTATTTAAGTCTTGTAGCTAGTTGCTCTTTTTCAGAAGCAGCGGTGCAGGTTTTGGAGACATTGTTTTCAAAACATCAATGCCTTTCTGTCCTGGTTTGGGCTCGAACAATGACACTTTCTCATTTAGAAGGGAATCACAAAGTATCTGGAATGATGAGCCTTTTTTCCTTTTCTTTGAAACAGTTCTAATAGTACAGGTTGTTTGACTGAAGGGACGGATTATTTTGCCTGGATATTACATGGGTATAAGTGAGGGCATAATGAACGTGAGCACAGTAGAGAATTGAACTTAATGCCCTGTGTCCTTTGCACACACTGATGGAAACAGAAAGATTCCTTCAAGCATTGCAGTAGTGCTAGACCCACAGCTCCCTCTTCCACCTGCTTGAGTGCCTGAGGGAATTACTATGTAGTAAAGTCAGTTTTACGGTTTTCAGACAGGGCTCTAAATGTGTATAGGGAGTAGACCTACTAAGTAAGGAGGTATAATTTCATCCCATAGCCACTTTTCAGGAAATGCTTCTCCCTCCAAACCCACAAGTAAGAATTCAGGTTTTTCTGGCATTTTGTCAAATGCCGTTCGAATCATGGCACCTGAGAATAGGTACTTAGCCCTTTGGTTTAGGGGATGCAGTAGTGACCAGGTGTGATGTTTATCCCATAGTTCCATTCCATTCTTTTGAACATAAAACCTGGAGAAATCACTTTTTTGATTGTGACAGGTCTTTGAAAAATGGGGAAACCTCTAAATGGTCACAAGTAGCTTGTAAGCTGTGCATTCTCCAGCAACGTTTTGGCATTTGCTACTTGCTGTTTCATCAGGCCCACATCAGTGCCTTGGAAAGGAAGGTGGTTATGATTGCACTGATCTTTGTTTGTCTCTCTTGACTTTAGGGTCAGAATGGACTTGTGACTCATGATTTTCCATTAATTTCTCCTAGGAATATTCATTGCCTTATACACCACAGTTTGCACAATGCAAAGATCCCAGCACTGAATTCTATGAAGAAATACTTAATAAATGTTGCAGCCAGTGTCCTCCAGGTAGGTTATAGTTTAAACTATTCCTTTACACAGACAAACTCAGTCAATTTTCAGATGAGCATAGTATATTTTGATTATTTATACATCTTAAGAGCATTGGATTTTTACTGTTGTAATGCAGTCTAGCTGGAAGACAATAAAATGCTGTGACGGTAAAAATATCTGCAGAAGATAACACATTGTTCATCAGAATTGGAATTCTCGTGCAAGATTAACCTGGCTGGGGCTTATTAGGAGGTAGGCTGCTGAGCTCTTGCAAGCACAGCTTTGTGCTGAGGTCTTATAAGCACAGCTTTGCATGGTGTTTTGATTAAAGTATTTTTAAGTCAGCATTGGAGAGGGAGCAACAGCCACAGAAGCCCACTAATAACTATATTGTAAAACAGGGCGTGAGGTAGAGCTTAGTTTCTGTACTTTGATAATATCACTTATATAAGGGGCTTTCCATTAGACAGGTTAATCTCTAATTGTTCGTTAAGGGACTTCTGTTGTCTTTTACTGTAAATCAGACACTGCAGACCACTATCAAGAGACTGGATACAAGACTGCAGAAACTGTTTGCTTTGAGGTGTCATGTCTTACACTCCAGGGATAACTGTTAGTGATATTTTGTTAGCAAAAGTTGCTGACAGCAGAAAGGTGGTGGGGGGGGGTTGTTTTGGGGGGGGAGAGTAGTAATGCCGTTTGGATATTTTGATAATAGAGGTTTTGCAACAAGTTGTCATTATATTATTACATTTGACACAGCAAAAAAATGCTTCTTTTTCACATTACATGCTGAGCAAACAAAATTTGTTTCCATAAATGCTGAGTTCCTGTCAAAGAGATCCGGAAGTTTAAGCAGGAAATCAGTATATGCTAAAGCAGCCACAGTTGCTTGAGTTAACTGAAAATGTCTAGATAGATCTATTAAACTTCCTTTGTTAAAAACACAAGTGAAAGATGGTAATTCATAGGTAAAACCTTTTTCTGTTGTGGTATGTACTGTTCACTATGTCTCCTTAATTTTAATTTTTCAGAATAACAAACTCTGGACAAGTGCTAGGAAGTCTAAAATCTTTATTTTTGTTATTATGAGTTTGAATTTTTAAACTAGAATTTATCAAAAGTTGAAGCCTAAATCAACAGCAGGATGTGGGAGGCAGAATTTTAAGCTTCAAGCAAGTACATGGAAAAACAAAGTCTTTGGAAGCAATTCCTATGGCTTACCTTCAGGACCCCTTCTTTTGGAGAACAGAGATTCTCCAAGCAGCTCCAGTGTTATTCATGCTTTCTGAGTATATCTTCCAGGATATTTCTGTACGGGATGTGAGACATTTACTTTTATCTCCTCTTCCTTTTAAGCAAAGGGGAAATGGCAACTGAGGTGTTTTTCATTCTCCCAAATGGATACTTGGGAGCTCCTATTTACTTATTCCCACCACTGCACTGAACTCTGCTGTTGGTGAGAAGCATTTGAGAAACTACCTTTGATAGATTTTGATTTTGTCTGGAATGCCAGTAGCTTCAGAAACTCACTGCTTTGCTCTGTTAGGGCTGGCTGAAGAGGTGGATGAAAAACAGGGAGCTCATGTCCCTTCAGTAGTGACAAGTGGTGAAGTTCTAATTCAGGTCTGTTTGTGGTAATACTTTACTACGCCTTCATTACTTGCTGCCTCTGAAGGTAGTAAGAGCCTCACTCAGACACACTGTTCTAGCATGTGCCTGACTTTCGGCACGAAACACCATCCCGTGTTTCACCACAAAACACAGCTTCTATGAGGGTAAAAAGTTTGTTTTATGTACTGTGGTAGCTGCATTTCAGTGTACGGTGAGGAGTTTTGTTCAGCACTGAGGCCACCTTATTTTGAATATGGCTGGAATTCACTGAACTGAATGTAGGAAAAGGGGTCAAACATGAGTAATGTAAAAAGAAGCCAGAGTTTCCCTGTATATACATTCAGCCCTCCTTGAAATCAATACTTGTTTGGTATACATTACCAATTTGATAGTGGCAGTGAAGGGAAGGGGGTTTCTACAGCTAAGAATGAAACAATTCCCAGTGATCTTTTCCAATTAGATGCTTTCTCTGTTTCGTTTGGTTTGTGTTTTTTTCTCAATAGGTCAATATAAGACAGAGAGCTGCAGTCACACTGTGGACACAAAGTGCAGTACCTGTAGACCTAACACGTATACAGCAATCTGGAATCGGTCTCCTCTGTGCTTTGCCTGCTCACCACCCTGCAGGAAAGGTAGGCTTGAGTTATTAAAGAGGCATTTGTGACTTTTAACAGCCTGCTCAGGGTGGGCTTGGTTTAACCTAGTCTTTTTTCCTAAGAAAACTAGGAGGTTTTGTCTATCACTTGTATAGTCCCATGCTAGTACTTTCGGTACTCATAAGATGTGTGGAAAGGAATCAGAGAGAAGTCTTGCAGGGGGCCCTGCCCTTCTTTCTTTCTAAGTCCTAAAAATGTGACACCAATCTTATATTCTTGGAAACTAAGGCATTGCATCACTAAAATAGATCTGGATGTCATCAGTAGAATAACTTCCTGCTTATAGTTTCCAGCCAAGGGAGGTTAAGACCTGACTTGCACAGGGGTAAATGGATAATTACATTTCCAGCATCCAGTCATTTCTCAGTTTGCTGAACTGACAACAGCAACCACAAGTTGTGATATTGCTATATTATTTGTATTTATTTTGCAAAGCAGCATAGTCAGTGAGAGTATGCTGGTTCAGTTTGTTAAAGCAGCTTAACAAAATACGAGGTAGTACATTGTACCAACATCTGTACTTTGGTCTAATAGATCATGTGCATTAACAAATTCAGTCATACTGTTGCCCATCATTTCTAATGGAAATTGGTGTTGAAAATTATCTACTTGACTCACTGGCAAGTAAGTTTTAAGGATACAGTCTAAGTTGTTCATGAGACCTTTGGTCTCATCTAAGCAGATAATCCTAAAAACCTGGTTAATTACAGTATGAAAGTGTCTGTAGTGAGGTCTCCAATTACTTTAAATACAGTGTCTTGATCTGCATAGGCTACAAATCCTAGTATGGTCCCCAGACACTCCAGCAATGAACACAGGTAACACAAATATGCTTATTTATGGTTATGTTGTAATTTAATGCAACGGCAGGTACAGAGTTTCAAGTGTGCAGTCTACAGATGCAAATTCCTCATTTCCTAGAGAGAGAGAAGAAACTCTTCTGAAAATGTAGACATTGGGGCATATAAAGTATTTGTTTTACGGTGGTATACTAGCCAGAAGCTGCAAAATTGTCTTCAGTTTGTGATACGTTGCCATCACCTTGTATTCACTGGAAACATTGGAGGCTATGATTTTAAATGTTGCTAATGACATCTTGCTTTATTCTTGTTTTAAAACCAGGATTTGTGCAGAATCAAACATGCACTAAGTCACAAGACAGAATCTGTAGCTGCCCACCCAATGAGTACTGCATTTCGAAAGTAGACGAGTACTGCAAAATATGTGAAGTGCATAAAAAATGTGGGAAAGGTTACCGAGTTTCCAGAAGAGGTAATTTAATTCTGAATGCTCTACACACAAAATAGTTCTACTGTATGAAGAGGGTTATTTTTTGCATTAATAGTCCATAAGTATTTCTGAATCTGCTTCCAATTTAATAAATTTCAGGAGTATGATCTTTTAATTCCCTACAGTTATGCATTCTTTTTAGTGTGAGCATTATCTTAGCAAGTAGGCAGTAAGTAGAGCAACAGTATCTCAAGAGACATATAGGGCTGTCCCTCAAAGGGACATGTTGCAATCTCTTACCACCATATATCACAAAGTTTCCCAATCCAACTTAATCTTCCTTTGTTTTGCTCTACTGTGTGATTCCATAAAAATGATTTAGATTCAAGACCACTTAATTCCTTCTTAAATCCTTGAAACAGGGCTTCAAGTTAGATTTGGTTACAGTAAATAATGATGACTCTATGCTGTCCTGCAGAATTAATCTGGTTTTATTAGATGATGAAATTCACCATTCTGATAATGTAGTTGTCTCAAGATGATAAATAATATTTGAACAGGTGGAACACAGCATTTTTCAGAAATGAAGAATCATTCAAAAAGATATAGAACTCCCACAGAATTGAGTAGGTTGTCAGTCTCAGGGACTAGTGAAAAAGCTCAACTTTGCCTGCAGTACCACATTTTAACCTTTTGGTGGGTTTTTAGTCTTTTTCAAAGACTGGCTATCAAGGGCACCAAACTAAGAGCCGATTAATCTTCTGATTTGTGTTTAGGTTGGGTTTTTCAGATTAATCTCTTCTGTGACAGTTAAAGACTGTATTTTGTGTACTGCCTCTGTATCACTTCCAGGATCTGTACCGCAGACCTTGATTATTCACTCTTGTTTCTCACTAGATCACTAACTGGAGATTTTCTATTTGTTTAAAGGAACAGATAGCACAGATACAGAATGTAAACCTTGTCCTCCTGGCACTTTTTCACATGAGGAATCATACGATACCAGCTGTATACCACATACAGTGTAAGCCAGTGATTCTAATAGCAACCTTAACTGTGCACAGGGTTGCTTTCTCTCCTGACTTCTCTTTTTGTTTCTTGCAGTTGTAAATCAGTGGCTGTTCCTGGAAACAGTGTGAATGACACTGTTTGCAATGACTCAGGGACAGCTGTTGCCACAGTTCTACCTCACACTATTTTGAACCTGCTCCTGACCCAAAGCTCCGCTTCCAACAAACGTGAAATAATAACTCGACCTGTCAATTTAAACTCTGCACCTGACATGTCTCACATTATCGGTGAGCTATTAATTAATTTAAAGTCCCTTCTGTCTGGCTAGGAAGCAAGTTTATATTTAGTTCTCAGTTTCTTTACAAGACCAATTACCTCTACCCAAACAGAACTTCAGAAGAGCTGAATTAATTCAATATGACACTGCTTGTCGTGAGTTGCATAATATTTACCTATGCATCTGTGCTACCCCATTGCATTCTACAGTCCTCAATTCTGGAAATATTTCTGAAAAGCCTCGAACTAGATTGTACAAGGTATTTCCTGAGATTTGCTACTATGAAGGAGCTGGTAGAAAAGGTCGTATTTTAGATTCCGGACTGAGGCAAATTTGACTTCATACACCTCCTGGTGAGGTGTCTTTGGAGACTTCTGGCAGCCTTTCCCGAGACAGGAAGTTCTTCCAGCAATCACAAGTGTGAATGTATTCTCTCCTGTTCACAACCCACCCAAGAGGCATATAAGTTTAGGAGCATTCTGGGTGCCTGGCCTTGTATTTAACAAACTGTTGCTAGCCTAGAGATGTATCTTTTGTGATTGGGGCCAAAGGACTGTACTCACTTTTCAGGACAGGAAAATTCAGTTTTATGAAGTGGTGGAGACTGAAAGGAGACCTTGGTATCTAGAAATAGAGCCATCAAATGTGAATGTCAGACACACCTGATACTTTTAAATTTAGCTTTTGTAGCCATGGACAGAAACTAGAAAACCACCTCTTTCTAATTAGATCCTTTGTTAGATCAACCTGCTAAATAATTTATCTTTTTTATTTTCAGGATCAGTAGCAGGACCATTGATATTGGTCTTGATAATCACTATTTTGGGGTATTGCTTAGTCTCCAAAAAAAAAGGTAAGATTTGAGGAATGAAAACAAGCAGATCTGTAAATATTAGAAATAGCACCACCTTATTTCCTACTGATTTGAGCCATGTGGTTGACTGAAATTAGTGTCTTAGAAGATGCTAGTCCTCTTTGAAGCTTTTCTTGTGGCTGGATATGGCTGAAGTATTACTAACGTGGAGATTCTGTGGTGTCTAATAATGTATGAGTTAATTTATATTTTTTTCTAAGGGGACAAGGTGATGATTTACAGGTTTCTACCTCACTAGCCAGCAAGCTGTAGCTTCATGAAACCCTGAGGAGTTTTTGACACCATTCCTCTGTTACATTGGGGAGAAATTGGCAAAAAGGTTCAAAGGTAAATAGAAGAGAGACTAAGAGAAAACTCATGCAAATCAGCTTGATCACATAAGCTTTGCAGCTAATGAAAAATAGAATTTAAAAATACTCCAGGAATTATAGATATACTTAGAGTACAAGTATGTTTATTAAATCACATGGGATGAAATTAATCTCAGCACAGGGGTACAATGAGGCACATGTCCCATTCAAACCTCTCTTGTTCCTCAGACTTCAGATAATTGTCTAAATGTACAACATCCTAGAGGAGTTGGACAACTGTCCAACAGTTGTGGTCCTACTGGAGCTTGTTAAATATTTTCTACTTCACTATTTAAATATTAGACATTATCAAATGTTATCATTAAACAGTTATGACCATAGTTTATTGTCATTAATACCTTTTCTTACTGACACTATACTAGAAAAATTATTAATTCATGCAGAGGGTCCTCTTTGTTTGCTGGCTAAATTTAAGTCACCTTACAAAATTAATAGCTTTCAACATTTTCAAACAGTGCATAATAAATGTACATTTGGAGTTTATTCTAGGAGCAGAGGATATCACTCAGACTAGTTAAGAAAGCAGCTTTTGCAACTGAAACAAATTTGGGTGCTAATGAGCTCTCTTTCCTCACTTGCAGCCCTTGTATACTCTCCACCGACTACAGAAGCAGATTTGGTGAGTGTCACTCCTTCCTTTACATCCTTTCCATTTCTTTAAGTTACACAGAAATCATGCAATCTTATCTAATTATAAGTAGAAGAAAATTGCATAGCAGAAAGGTAACTGGAGTGAGAATGGGGTGGTTTGGTCCCCAAAGTAGAGTGTAAGATGCACCTTATATAACTTACATATGTACCATCATCCCTTTATGTTAGGCTGTATTAGCAATAAAGTACAGGTGTGGTTCAGAAGACCAGATTTTAGAGCCTTTGTTTCCTAGGTAATCAGTGAAGTACTGTAGGTGCCTTCAGGAGACAGGGTCATTTTGTTGAACATCTAATGAGCTGGTATGAATTTTACTTACAGTCACCACTATGCAAATGGAAATTATCAGTGGTTTCCTTAGCTGCCTAAGTACTGACCAGTTCTTTGTTAGTGTGTTTTGTTGTTTGTTTTTTTTTGTTTGTTTGTTTGTTTTAATTAATGTTTTGCATTTCTTTGCAAATGTGCCAGCCTTTTTCCCCTACAGAAAAGCAGTGTGACAAAAAAGTAAGAAATACAGGATCACAAAACTCCAGCAGTTCTGAACAGGAAGAACAGCATCTCTTGGAAACTTCTGGGTCCAGCAGTAGCTCCGTGAATAATCCAACTGGATCTGCAAGAGTCAGTGTAGTAGGTAACAAGAACAATGAAAAGAAAGAAACAGAAGGATTTCAGCAGGAAGGTGCAGCTGCAGAAGGCTCTAAGCTTCACAGTGGAGACAGACACAACTCTGCGAGTTCAGGTAAGAATGTATCAGAATGATCCAGAACCTCTTGAAATCTGATTTTGAGTCTTTCCAGCAAAAGTTTAAATGGCAGGATAAAACATCAGACTCATGTTCAGCAGAGAGAGTATTTAGTAACTTTTGAAAAGAAAAAGCAATTGTTTTAAGTTGTCAGCCTGAGACAGTAAAGAGTGTGCTCAGTGGAGAAAAAGTTCTTTGCAGACTAGGGGATTGGTGTGATGGTGGGCACTTATCTGTGAGTGGGAGTGAAAGCCAAAGGGAGCAGTAAGAAAAGAGCTTTGTCAGAAGCATCTGAACTAGCAACAGATGAGTAGGGAGTTGGCTGTGACCCGGGGCTCTGTGTTAATTTTTTATTTCTGGGGTGACGTGGATTTTATGGTATCAGAATAACCCTAAGATGTTGCAGAATGAACTCCACCAGCTTGCATAAATGAGTTGAAACTAGATAGTGTCTCTTTTAAGTCAGAGAACTGGATAAAGAATCCAGCTGTCCTCTTGTGGGTTTCATTCTTCCGTATTTAATGTGTTTTCTGTTTATTTGACAGAACATTCTGGTAATGGAGGAACGCAGGTGAATGTGACTTGTATTGTTAAAGTATGTAGTCCAGACTGCAGTTCCCAGTTCCCAGAACAGATTAATTCAACTAGTATGGATTATGCAAGCGCTCCCTATTATTCCCCAACAGGGGAAGGAATTCCCCTTTCAAAAGAAGAAAGCCTCTTGAAAAAAGAAACTGAAATTCAGATCTCAGTGGAAAATGAGGACAATTTACTTCAAGACTTACTTCCAGGAGAAAAGACATTTCCTCTGGGTATTCAAGATGCCGGGATGAAAACCAGTTAAAGGAAATTGCAGATTGTATACTGATTGACTGATAAAATTAATCAAACAACCCCTTATCTTCTAAAATAAACATTATGTTAAATGTAGCATTCCTAAAAAGACTTTAAATTTCAGATGAATACAGACACTGCTACTTTTGAGATTTTTAATCTCTTTTGTTAGCTTTGAGAGTCAAAGGATGATCTTTGCAATTTTAAAAAATTTGAATGCTTTTTCTTTTAAACTGCATGGCCAACACCTCCCTCTCTTCTGTGATACCCTAGAGAGACCTTTACCAGATTTGGAAAGGAACATTTTTCTAACTTTATGCCATTGATTTTTCTGCTGAGACTTCTTGTGATGCTAATTTGAGTTCAGGTATGTCACCTGTCAGGAACATGGCTCTAACCAGCACTTCTGAGAGACTGGAGTTAAATTATCATTCATTCAGTGCTAATGAATTATACATTTTATTTTGATTTTGAAACTATTGCATTCCATTTCCTATCCCATATCTTCAGGGATATACTCTCCCTCATCCTCCTGGATATTGTATTATTACAGTTTGCTTCTGCTCATTATTGGACCAAACTTCTCAAATCGACCATAAATATATCAAGGAGTGAAATCTTTTCCTGGAGTTTTTTTTACTAGATCACAACTATTATGTCTAAACAATAGTGTTTCACTAGCTGTATATAGTTCATTTTATTTTAGAAAAGAAATTCTAGATTGATAGCTGTTATCTTGGAGTAGGAAGTAAGTTCCTTTTATTGACAGCTGTAAAGTTTGTCATATTTGTGTCCTGGCTGATTGAATATGGCTCCCTGATTGATTCTGACCTCATTTTTGAGGTTAACCATAAACCCAAAATATTTTTCCCCTATGTTCCAGTGAATATTAAAGATCCATGTGATTATGTATGCCAGATAGCTCACGCCCGTTGACCTCAGGTAAAGGTCTCTCTCTTGATGATTGCATAGTATAATCTGTAAAAAGTGGAATTGACTCAAACTTCAGAACCAGAAAATCCTGTTCTCCTTCACTTCTTGCTTGACGCTGAAGATCCAACCACGTCTTACAGAAAATTAGTAGAGGTTCTCCTTGAATCAAGTGGGAGTATTTTGGTTTTGGAAGTCAAGGATCCCATTTCCCATAATTATGTTTTATGTATGTGACTTAACCGACAATTGTGGCGTCTGTATTCAACCAGAATTTGCAATACGGTGTCCGAATTATATTTGAGTGAAGTCATACATGAGGCATAACTTTTTTATTTTATGCCATAAAACCAGTATGTTGGACTAGATGATCACTGTATTTGCCTGCCAGCTGAAATACTCTATTCTATTCTACCTCAAGAGAAACTAAATGCAGTAGTTATTTCTGAGGCCTTAAGACTGAAAAAGTGTATTTTGGAATAGCATTTATTCTACAGATACAGAAGAGGTACAGATTTTAAAAATACAAATTTAAAACTTCCACAAAAGCTATGAGCTATATGATTTCTGGAACTGAGAACTGGCCAACAGATCTTTAATTCTACTATGAAGACACCTTTTACAGCTGTATATTAATCTTGAAGATAATTTTCAGAAAAGACTTTTAAAATGGGCACACTGAAACTTACAAAATTGAAGGATTTAGGCAATAAAAAAACTTCATTTCATACAGCACTTTGAACCTCTTGCATAGAACTGAGTGTTTTCATGTCTTGCCAGCTCCTGGTATTGGGACCAGTGAAGCAGTGGAAGTCTTCAAAATGTTAAAAAGGAGGATCCTGCTATGGCAGTTTATTTACTGGGTTTTCAAATAATGGAGCCGTGTGACAGAAGGAAAATCCAGTTTTTGTGTTAAAGTAGGAAAAATGTGCTTGCATTTGCTTATAAAAAGTAAAAAAAACCCCTGCATTTTTGTAACTACGTGTATCTTCAAGTTTCCTGACCTCTTCATTAAACAAATTGCTAATTTCTAGGATGGGTTCTTTAATTTCACAGTTTGAGGGACTGCCCTGTAACTTTATTTCCTATCGCTCTCGGCTCATTACCAGCGGACGGATACACGAAGCTAAAAGCAGCTCTATCTACAAACACCACGCTTCCGCCTCCGCCTCGATGGATAAAGTCACAGCCTTCACGCCGGCCGACAGACCTCTGACGCTTTTCAGCGCCCAAAGCCCTTGTTTTTCGCCCTTTTCCCGCCCGGCCGGCAGCCCCGGCCTGCGGCTCCCTCAGAGCGGGCGGGCGGCGCGAGGCCCGGCCGGCCCCGCCTCAAAGGGGCGGGCGAGGCTCCCATCGATAGCTCGGCGCTCCCCCCGCCAGGCGTCACCCCGCCGCTCGGCTCAGGCCTCGATTGGCGTGCGGCCCGCCAGCCCCGCGCACCCCCCGCCCCCCCGGGAGGCGGCCGCCACCGGGAGCCCAGGTAGGTACCGGCGGGCAGGGGGCGGCCCCGCGGAGCTCCGGCTGCTGCTTCCTCCTCGCGTCAACCTCCGCGCCCAACTCGGCCGGGGCTGCATGGCGCGGCCCCGGCCCTGAGGGGCCCCTCCCTGTCGCACGCCCCTCACGGGGCTCCGCCCCGCCGTCCCGGCCCCGGGGGTGGGGGGAGGCGAGGGGTGGCCGGGGAGAGCAGCGTGACCCCCCTCGCCGGGGCTCTGCGTGGGGCTCTCAGCCTCAGCGCCGTGGCCGGGCCCCGCGGGAGCCCCTCGGGCGCGGTCCCCGCTTGCCCCCGGATGCCCCTCAGGGCTGGCTCCGGCCGCCTCTGCGCAAGGTCACCTTTCGCTTCGCCTCCGACGCGCGCTGCGCGCCAACAGGTCTCCTGTCTCCTCCCCACGGTGTGTTTGCTCGCGTGGAGAAAGAGAAGGGCGAGTGTCCTGAAGGCTCCTCCCTCCCCCCCTCTTCCCCCCTCTCCCCCCCCTTTTTTTTTGTGTAACCGGGCGCTGAGCGGCATGCCCCCCTTTTGCCTTCCGCTGGCAGGGCGGCAGCGTGCTTCCCTCCTTGCCGCCCAGCCTTTGGGCTGCCCCTGGCCCCGCTCCTTCAGGGCCTGTCTCGTCCTCCTTGTTGGAAAAACTGCATCATTTTCCCAGAAAAAGTCATCCAGCTTTGAGTGAGGTCCTGGTTTGGACTTTGATTCTCATCCTGATAAGCGCTGGCTGTTGCTTTTTTTACTATGTGTGTTAAGGAAATAAACCCACTGTCGTAATTGGTTTGATTCTCAGTGGCACAGCAGTGAGTGGACTAGAAAGTTAAAATGTAAAAGACTTAAAACAGTTGAAGGATTCCTAAATATTTATGTTCTGCAAGTTTAGGTTAAGGAGGTGATTTACTTTATTTACAGTTACGATGGCTTCAGGCATGGATTTTTAAATGCACTGGGGGTTTTCAGTCACTGGGATGCTAACCTGTTCTGTGCTTCTGAATCTTTCTTCAAGATATTTCCTCTGATTTGCCTTCTAACACCTGTAGATTTATTTATTTATTTATTTAATGGTAGCATGATAAGGGTTACTGTATTTGCTTTTGTTTGAACTTCAGCTTTCATGTAGATTTTATTAGAATAAAAACCTACAGTTTAAGGTGGTGGCCCTAAGTGTACAGATGCTTGGTCTTTATTATGTGCTATAATAATACTATTTTTGACAAATGTTTAGAAATTTTACAAAGATTAAAATGTTAAATGCATTTATTGTGAGGATATGCTTTATTCAAATGTAATTTCTCTGTATTATTTATGATGTTTGTGTTTCATTCTGTGTGACAGCATAGTTTCACTTTTCAGTGTTTAGAAAAAGCCATTCGTTATTTGCTTAATTCTCTTTATTTAACTGTATCATTTAAATATTTTCACTGGCTTTTTTTTTAAAGAAATAAAGGCTTAAACGGTACCTAAAATCAGGCAAACCTCATTATGGGAAAACCCAGAATCTGAATATAAAGTTTAAAATTTAACTCCTGAAGATTTTTTCGTCTATTGTCAGATGTAAATAAATGACATATTTTGCTTTTCTGCTCTGTAGAACCCAATCTTACGTACACTGGTTTAGGGAGGTTTGTGGAATTGGAAGACTAAACACAGAACTGATAACATTTACTGCATTCTAACCACAAGGTACGGCCTGCATGCTTTTTTCCTTACTGCAATAACATGCTTGATCCAGCCCTTGCAGAAGCTAATAGTAGGTTTGCAATTCATTGGTTAAAAACTTGAACAGGTACTTAGGGGTTTTAATGGTCTGATTACCACATAAGTTGAAACAAGAGGTTGGAGAAGAGTATGAAGGGAAATACTTGCATTTATATATAGCTAGTGTTGCTTCTCTAATGTAGCTTCTTTTCTCTGCTTGATGCAGTAATGTATGATACCACTTTGAAAACCTGTTAGCGTAACTGTCGATGAGCTATTTATGTGTCTTGTATCTGATGACTTCCCACACATATGGTCTTCCCAAAAAAGGGGTTTGGGTAGGGTGAGTTGTTTCACAGATGTCGTAAGCATTCTACAAAAATACAGTCAAAGTCTCTGAGCTGTTACTTTAGACCAGGCTTCCAAAACCAGAACGCTGGCAACTTGAAGAAAATAACAGCAGCAGAAATCGAGGAGGCCACTGCAAAACTGCTTCTGATCAACATGGAATTTTAGTCTTCCCTTTTCAGGAAGAGGAGTGTGGGTTGGCTGCCTTGATTATTGCAACGAAATGTGCTGCTTTGATTAGAAAAAGGATGGAAAGATTAACTTAATTCGCAAATGGGAGTGGTCTGTAATCATCAAAGCTCTATATGAAACTCTGATTTGAGACTTTGAGGGTATAGCATTTACTGCTTTTTAGATTGATTACAGTAAGAATTATAGTGATAGCGGTATATCAGCTGCGAGATACTCTGCTGAGAGTGTATATTTCAGACAATCATTTTCTTAATGTTTTTTCTTTCAGAGTGAGACTGTAATTATGGGACAGAAATCCAGAAAATGACAGAAAAACATTAGTTGCCCTCATCTAGGACAGTCATGTTGGAAGGATTGGTAGCCTGGGTCCTCAACACCTATTTGGGCAAATATGTCAATAACCTGAACACAGACCAACTTTCAGTGGCTCTTCTAAAGGGTGAGGCTTTGTGGTATTTTCTGTTTTCATACTGGGATTAAAAAAAAAAAGGTGCTATGTTTTTGTAATAACTGGGAGGTGGAATAGAAACAATCCCTTAATATTGTGTTAAATGTTTATATAAATGCTTTTAATACAGAGGTTTGCACTAGCACTTTACAACAAATAGCAAATTCTCTTGTGTTCCTGTCTTGCTTTTTATCAACACGGTATAAACCAATTTATATGAAACTTTCAAAAGTATGCTCAGCATATCTCATCAACAGGTTTAATTTATATAATTTAATTTATATAATATTTGAGTGTCATTTTTCTTCATACTCTTCAGTAACTTCCCTGTTGAGGGACTCTGGCAGGAAGCATTCTGTAGTCCTTACCTCTTACATTTTGGTGTTAGTAGTTACTCCCCTTTAATTAAGACTTCTGGTTTATGTTGTGTTCCTGAGTCTTTAGAGAGTCTTTACTTTTAGAGAGTCCACAAATCAATGCTTTCTAATTTATGTTTTGCTGCTATTATTTGCTATTTTTGG